CGCGGCGGCAGTTACCCGTCCATCACGTCCAGGTGCAGGTAGTCCGCCCCGGAGTCCAGCATGCGGCCGCACTCGGCGCCCAGCGCCGCCAGGTCGCTGTTGAGGATGGACGGGCCGATCCGGCAACCCGACGCCATGGCCGCCCCGCCACCGGGAACTGAGCGAGGCGCAGGCGCGACAGCCTGAGGGACGCCACAACCCCCTCCCCGGGGATGCTGGGACGTGTAGTTCTTCTGCCGCCGCCGCCCGCGGCTCGCAGAACGGCAGGGACTACGCGCCCCACAATGCAACGCGGTGCCTGGGGAAAGGGTGGCGCAGGCGCGCCTCATCAGCCTTTGGCGTCCCTCCCGGCGCCAGGGGGCGGGGCAGCGCTGGAGACCCGCCCCCTGAGGGGCGGTGCAAAGACCATGATGGGCGGGAGGGGGAGAGGCGAGCCCTGCCCGCAGCACAGGGCACACAGCTGGCCCAGGCTGGTGCCCTGAGCCTGGCTGCCTGCTCTGGTCACTCCCTCTGCAGCCCCTGGCTCCGGCTGCTGGCGGGACCCTGTCCTTGCTGGACCCTGGGTCGGGCCCAGCGTGGCCCTGCTGCTGATCCTCCTTCGTGAAGGTAGCACCTGCAGCTTGCCTGGACGGAAGTCAGGCATCGGCTTCCATGGCATAATGCCTCCCGCCATCGAGTCACCAAGTTCCAGCGAGACTGTCATCAACTAAACTCACCCTTCCCTGAGTTCCGGCGCACCGTGCCGAGCCAGCCGCTTTCACCCAGCTTTGTATCTCACGTAGGCCAAAGCAGAGGTTTATACCTACCGGAATGATGGGGTATCATCAGTTTAGGAAGAGACAGTCAAATATTTAGGAAAAATAAAAGAAAGGGGGAGTATTAGCTTGACTTCCAAAGTAACCCATTCAGAAGTGTAATATATGAGTGCAATAAATGATGGCCAGGCCTCCAAACGTGGCAAATACACCACAGTGGTTGTTAGCTGTGGAGCATTTGGAGGGAATTGCAGGAAGAAAAGTTTATCAGAGAATGTCAGCTCCAGCAAAGACAAAGTTTGGAAAGATGGAGGCCCTCTCTGGAAGAAGTAGCCATGGTAAGGCCTAAGAAAAATCTCACACCACATTAAATATTTGTGATATATTTTATTATTTGTGCATATTCAAACATTAAACTCTTATAATCTCTTTCATAAACATAATTCAGACATCTCTATTATTTATATTTTATCCCTGGTCTTTGGTCACTTGGTACACATCACAGACTTTGCTATTAGGTACTTTTGGGAAGTACAGTAGATGGTTTTCTCATTTTAGATCTATAAGATTTTGGGTCTGTAATCCTTCAAATTATTTTTAAAGGGCTTTCATTTTACTAATGGGGATTTTTGTTCTCCAGTTGCATTGATTCTTAAAATGAATTACACAGTTGTAATGTGGGGAAATTATATAATTTGACATGTTTTTATCCAGTTCTATGTAACGAATTTGCCTTAAGCCCTCAAATCTCACTTGCTTCAAATAAACTCTATTCTCTGTTTGGCACAGCAAGATTGCCTTCCTTTCAGTGCAAGACTTGACTACTTCCCAATACAACAGAAAATGCAAATGAGAATGTAATATCCTACTTAACTGCCCTGAGATAATATTTTAAATCACATATCCACTTGGTTGTGAAGGTTGGTCTATTGTAATTGGTTTCTTCTCTGATATTTTGTTTCTTTCCTTCTAAACATTTCTTTGGTAATGGGAAGTCAAAAAACACTTTGCTAAAGCTTAAGATTTGTTCAAATTTCAAAGAGAATGCCCTTATTTGGAGATTGGGAGGGAACTACACCATTTATAAACTTATACTTGGTTTTAGGGTTTCGACTCAACAAGAGTTTCTAGTTTTGATGTTTTTTGAACTTCCAAACAAATTGATAAGATCATTTTCAAACCTACATCATGTTTTCCTTCTGGAACACAATTTTCTTTCCTTCAAAAATCTAGGCAATAGTATTATTTCAAATACAGCCTGTGACATTCTTATGCACATACATGTACATATAAATACACCTAGACATTCAGCACAGTTAAGGTCATATTAAGAGGACACAAATGCACACAACAAGTGGATCACACCGAAAGTTCCCAGTACAATGATCCCCCCTTTTTAAAAGGCGGGGGTGGGGGATGTATGGCAAGTTCTAGCGCGGCACATATTAAAAGATGACAGATAAACATATTAAATTATAACAAACTTTGTTGGCAACAGAGCAAAGTAATCTCATATAGCAGGATACAGTGCTTTTTAAAAAGGGAGACTTGTCTAATGTTGTACAATAGGATTAAACAGAGCCTTGTCTTTTAATTACTATTTGTTGAACATGATCAGCGTGAACAGACTTTTCTATCTTTAATCCTTTTGACAACTGCAAATTAGTTTAAAACTTCGAGGCAACACAACAGAACCAAACACTGAGAGACATTTGTAAGGGCCAGACGTTTGACATGCACTTAAGGCCTCAAACACTAATTAAGCAGCATAATTTTCCTTCACAGCAGAAATATACCAGTCACTTTATAGAGATACTGGAAAAATGCACAAACTCTGCTAAATTACATGTTTATGCACCTTATTAATACAATATTAAGTGCAACCAATATGAAAGTAAAATGTATAAGTATACAGACTGATCAGCCTGTCTTTATAACTACCTAATGAAATTATAGCCCTTTCCTGGGCCACCTGAATAATGTAATCTTCATTTATACACTGCACTTGTTTGGTTGGAGGGTGGACTTCAAAAAGAGGCATTTTTAGTCCTTGCTATGGCTTGCTAAGATGGATTCAGCTTGTAACAGTGGGCAACCTTAATGGAAACATTTATCACAAATATTGAATTTATTGTAGTAAATCACAGTTATTTTTCTATAATTAGATTAGAATACCATGGCAGGCATCTATCTCACATTAATGTAAATGCTTCCTTTTAAAGTATATTATCAGTGAAAAAGTGACTACAAAATTCAACATGGGGTTCCATGTTTATTGCCTCTCAGCCATTTCTATATCAAATTTACTTCGTTTATGAATAAAATATTTCCCCCTCCAACTGCCAGTTAACCCAAACTGGGATCTGAAAGTGAAGCGGTGTTCTTTCTGATTTGTGAGTCATCGTTAATAATAGCAATTCCACATGCGGGACGTAATTAATAATTCTTTTGATGATGCCAACACTAGGAAAGAATCCAGTGCAGGCTCTGTAGTGCTGAGAGACATAAGAAGTAGTCAGATATATTTAAGTCAGCGATATAAGCAGCTATCATTCAGAATACCCATGATCTGTGCTGAGCAAGGTGCCATTTTTACATAGACACTTTTTTGACCACAAACCACTTTCAGATTGCCCACTGTACAGCAAGGGCTTAATCCTGCAAGGTGACTAGCACTTCCTATGAGGTGCAAAGTGCCTTTAACTCTCAATGAAGGCAACAGTAGTAGAGGGTGCTCAACACCTCTGGACTGGGGCCTAGATAGACAAGCTTGAGAAAAGAATACATTTTGTTGTTGCTAAGGTGTCCGTTGTACGTACGTGTGTGTGTGTGTGTGTGTGTGAGAATAATATATAGGACCCAATTCTGTACTCTGATGTGCACACAGGGCTTCTACTGACTCATATGTATATGTAGAGGATACATGATGGTGAGGTATAAAGGTTTGATTGGTTGAAATTACCGAAGCCACCAGTCAGTTCTGGAGTTGATCTTAAATTAATGCCAATAAAACTTGTAATATTGCACCAGACCAGCGTATAGGCTGTGTATGACAGTGTTTTACAGAAAAATGGTTTTAGAAAAAAATAGTTATTTAAAAAAATATAGTGGTGGTGTTGTTTGCTTGGTGTGGGTTTTGTTTTGTTTTTGGTCATATCATTTTAACTCTAAAATCATGTTGTCTTAATACCATGAGTCCAGATTGAAAGGTCAAAAAGATTGTAAGTAGTACATTTTAGAAAGCTCTAAAAGTGATCAAAAATAACTTTTCTATGCATAATAATGCCCCAATTATAAGGTCTAATACAGGGGTTGGCAACCTATAGCACGTGTACCGAAGGTGGCACGCGAGCTGATTTTCAGTGACACTCACACTGCCCAGGTCCTGGCCACCGATCTGGGGGGCTCTGCATTTTAATTTAATTTTAAATGAAGCTTCTTAAACATTTTAAAATCCTTATTTACTTTACATACAACAATTGTTTAGTTATATATTATAGACTTATAGAAAGAGACCTTCTAAAAACGTTAAAATGTATTACTGGCACGCGAAACCTTAAATTAGAGTGAATAAATGAAGACTCGGCACAACACTTCTGAAAGGTTGCCGACCCCTGGTCTCATATCTCATTCTACCAAGGTTAGTTGAAAATGTATTATGTGAACACACAAACACACACGTAAATATGGACATTGGTTGCAACTTCACAGTATGCCTCACAGCTATTCTGCAGCTTTCCCATATGTCAATGACTAAAGTCCAGTTTCAATTTAATCCCATGAGCTTGAAACACAGATCGTAACTCACCCACGACTTCAGTCAATTCCCAAAGGGGACGTGATATACATATAAATCTTATGCATTTATATCTACACATGCAGAGTCATAATTAGTGCATATTCATATACCCACATAGAATGGCGCCTTTTTAAATACAATCTCCGTGTGCAGAAAATATATTCTTTCATCAGGTCTATTCTCTGCAATATCCATTCCTAGTTTACAGGAATGTGAAAATATGGATTATATACGTTACTTAAAATATACATTTCCAAGTGCATACAGAGTAGATATTTGCATCAATTAAGTTGTTGCCCTGTACTAGAAAGTCCACACATTCTAGCTGTGTTTTTTACATAAATTGCTTAATATATTTAAGCAGAATAGATAGTACCATTTATGTCATCTACAGACCACTCCCGCCCACCCATCTATCTTTGAGCACAGCATGTGCATTCTTTCCTGTAGTATGTAGTGTATTCAGTTTTACACAGAATGACTATTTTTCTAGCACTAGGGTATTATCTTACAGAGTGCAATGAAACCAACAGACAAAAGTAAACACTGCTAAAGTCTGCAGTGCCAAAAAATATCTTTCTAATCATTCAATGGTATGTGCCATTGCTATGGGGATTAGAAAACACAGTCACGGGCCTGTTTATTTAAAACAATCTTTAGTTCGATATTCATTGTCAGCATTTTGACTGCCAATATTCAGTCATGCGAGTCTTTGATTCAGATACTATATAACCCTTCTGAAATTACAAAAATAAACTTTGGGGGGCAGTGTTAAAGTGGCTAACCTCAAAAAGGTTGGGTTTTTTCAGTCTACTATATTAAACTAATGCATTTTACTGGAGCAGCTGCAGACTGCAGTAGATTTCTGGCAGATCAAGATTTTGGGAAACAGATATGTGGCTGCAGAATTGTTTAGAATTCTCTTCTGGTCTTTGCAGTCTGCCCTGAACCAAATTAGATTTGCCAAAAAGGCTTAGCTTGTTTTCTAAAACATATTTGCCAATCTGTAGCAAATAGGTTGTTAGATATTTTCCCTTGTTGGCTATAAAGTGCTCTTTCTGATTAGTTCATCAATAGTTATCAAGAAACTCTATAGAGAAGAAACAGTTTCTCTACCAAAACTCTACATTCTCTCTCCTCCCATGCTAATGCAGTTCCCCGACATTTAAACATGGGACTCATCTAAGTCAACATCAGTCTCACCAAGCTCAACATGCGTGAAGCTGAAGTGGCTGGTAAGGAGGGGATTCTCCATCCCATTGTCCTCGCTGATGTGAAGGACAGTGTCTCCATGTTGCAGTAAGCTGGTTGTCTCAAGGCCTGCAAAGTCCTCTGTATCAGAGAGCTGTGTGGGTGGGGTACTATGTGCTTGTGCTGGCCGGGGCTCCAAATCCTCCTCTGTTTCTTTTTCCTTCTCAGTGGGAAGCGCCTCACTCTGAAATCAAGGAGAGCTTGCGGTCAGGCTCCAACTCATGGGAAGAGAAGGGGGTGGGAGGGAGAATAAAAACCAATGTGTGCAAAATATATTCAGATCTGTTAACTAATAAAGGCTAAACCGTAACTGCCCCTTGGTTTATTTGAAATGTTTAAAGGTACAAAACCCTAAAATTTTATGCAAAAACAGTTAATTTTTTTCTGGCTGGTGAAATTTGTAGTGGAAACTACAAAGATAACATTGCTTAAGAGGACACTGCAATTTGAAATTCTTTTAATAACTTTTCCAAAATGGGTTTTTCTATCTCTTCTGCTCATAGCCAAGGATGTGTCCCCCTGGGGAACCAAATAAAGAGACATCAGAAAAGAGAACTTCGTCTCATTGGGCTGGCTCTAAATTCTGGATTACAATTTGTAATTTTCTCACACACCATCCTCCACCCATCAGTGATGTCTAACACCTACTTTTTCCAGCAGTCAGTGCACGACAAAGAGCTTCTTTCTAAAGGTATCCTACTGCAATTAGATATATGATTTACTCTAGCTAGTGTGAATACCAATAGCAGTGAAGGTGTAGTGGCATGAGTCTCAGCCTGCACTCTACAACCCTGTCCTGGACCCTGGATACTTACTTGGGTGACTAGTCCATGCTGAAGCCCATGTGCCACGGCTCCACGGCTACTGGCACTCATGCTAGCTAGATTAACATTAACTCAGGTACGTCTACACGTGCTGCAATCACATACCCTGATTACAGTATTGACATACTCAAAGTCTGGTATCTTTGCTAATGCAGTCATGTGTTTTTGGTAGGAATCCTTCCATACTGATGCATCAGTCTACCCTACCCCAACCCCCACCACAGATCATTCCTCAGAGAACAATGTAGCTGAGGAGAGAGTTGAATTAAAACTTTCACTGGTGTAGAAGGATGTGAGAGAAAAGATCTATACAGACAGGAGAAGGAAGACATAGGATCAGTCAAGCTAAGGACATGCAGTGGTGAAGTGCCAATGGAAATGGAAGGAAAGAGAATCAACACAAAGATCTGGGAGCTAGCAATTTAAACAAGAAGTGGCATGGGCAACCACCTCACTGTAAAGAAAACAGACTCTGCAGTCTTCACACACCAACCACTTCTCTTTACGGCCAAAAGTGAGATCGTTAGCCATTTTCACTATTTTTTCAGCAGCTTAAATCACTAAGTAGAGAGGCACTGCATATGCATGTACCCACTAGAGATTGGAGCAGCGAACCTACTTTCTGACTTGTCAGATGAGTTACCTGGCTGGTGGTTTGGCTATGGAGATCAGCGACAACAATGGCAGGTGAGGAGGTCAGCACAGGTTTATTCACAGCTTCCGGCTGGCTGACTTCTGCAGGGCTGCTTCTGCTGCAGCTAGGTTGCAGGGCTGGGACCGGTGTAGCATCTGTGGCTGAAGATGTTGTTGCCTCTGGCTGAGTTTCAGTGAAAGTCACTGATCGCTTTTGATCCACTGCGGGACCAGAAAGTGAGGAAAGATAAATACAAAATTACTCCAATTTAGAAAAAAATATCGGAATATAACAAATGCTTTTATGTTTGTATGGTGTCTTTCATCCCAAAGTGATTTACATATATTCATAACTGCCATGTGAATTAGCTATTATGATCCTTATTTAGATGAGGAAACTGAGGCACAAATGGTTAAGTGACTTGCCAAAGGCTGGATAGGAAGTCTGTAGGAGATCTGAGAATACAATCCAGGGCTTTTGACTCCTATTTCTGAGCCTTACCTAAAAGGCCACCAAGCGGGAGTAAAGAGCAGGCAAAATCTTGTTTTTAATTATGGCCAAAGATTTAGGTTGTAGCACATCTCCTGCAGCACTGCTCCTCTTAGGACCATCCTGATTCACTAACGCAAGGAAAAGTGCTGCCTGCTAGATCACTAACCAACGTGCTCTGCACAGGCTTCCCTTGAAAACCACTTGGACGCTTCAGGAGGTGCAGAATTCAACAACGGTATGCCCTAATTAGCAATGTTAGCCACAAAAAGAACATAGCACCAGTGTGCCAAAGACTGAATTGGCTCCCCTATTTGCTTCTACATTCAGTCTTTAAAGTCCTGTATAGTTTAGGTCCTCACTATTTGAGACACTTTCTCTTTCTGTGTTCTACTAGGACACCAGTTGTCGGCAGAGGCATTCTCACTAGCAATCTCTAGCGTTGCACATCTCAGTGCTGTTGACAGGGCATTCTCGGTGGAGGACACCTGACTCTTAAATCCTCTATCTGTGGGTGGGAAGATAATTCAATGTCTATGTCCATTCAGATGTCGGCCTTTGGAGAAACTACAAATTTTGTGGAAGTGTTTTTTTCTGATGTGGTGTCTGTCCTCCAGAAACTAGACTGAAACCACTAAAATTCACATCACATGGACTACTGAAAAGCAACTGGCTGATAATTGCCAATTGCTACCTACCAGGGCTAGACGTGAACTGATAAAAAGCTATACATCCCATTACCAATCCCCCCAAACTACCCAGAACTTCTCTTAAGAACAGTCTACAGAAAGCACACCTATGTACACTTCACACACAGTAACCTGTCTTAGAAGGAAAAACAAAACCTAGTAGCTCCTACTTTAAAATATTAGATGCCAGCTGTGGAAAAGCAGAAGTTGCCTCACCACTTGGTTTTGTTTTTGGCTGTATACTTCGACGAGTAGTTGAAAGTCGAGCCCCGTGACGGCTACGAGGTTCAGTTTGGGTCTTCTGACGTGAGAGAAGAGGTCTTCGTAGCTAAGGTACACAAAGCAGAGTAAAGTTAGACCAAGGAGACACTAATGTACAACTGAAATATTCACCTTTATGTGACTAAGTCATATCATTTATGCCATTCTCTTATATATAGCCACCAATTTTTCTTTTTGTGGGTATACATGTTTTGGCATCTTTAATTTAGACATCAGTGTAGTATAAAAGCAGGTGATGAAATAATGCACTTCATACCAATTCAATTTTAATGCAATGACCTTTGTTCAAATAATATAGCAATAGGGGAAAGGATTTGGGGATTTGAAATGAAGCATAACTTCTTGCTTGGTGGTTTGGCAGACCTGAACGGTTCAGCTTGCCCAAGCACTTCCTGCTAATTCAGAGGATTATGATGCTGTATACGTTCTGGACAAGATGAACAGAAGATAGAAGATCTCAGCAGCAAATGGACTGCAACAAATTAAAATTGTCATGTTCACTTCTTCCTGTGATCTTACCTGCCGGAGGCCTCTCTTCCTTCCTAGTGGTTGCTGAAGAAGAAGATTCTGTTGTCCAGGTTCACTCTGCACGCTTGCTACCCTGTTAAGTGTTGACACTATTAGCACAACCATAGAAGTACAGTGGCTGATTAGAATAATCCCTGGCAATCATGACTAAAAAACACTAATGGCACAGTCACTTCAAAGACAGAAGCATCGTCTTTGAAGGATGGGGGAAAGGATCTGTTGGGTTGCAGCTTCCAGGGTTTGGGAAGGGGATGGGAGTAGGAATCATGGTATTCAGGACTAGGCCACGCACAGGTAGCACAGAGCTGTAAAAATTGAGATTTTCAGTTTTCAGTCATTGATTGATGCATCCTATTCTGCAATACCCACTTCTCTGTGTCCTTTGTCACACTGGCCTCCACAGACAAAAGGCAAGAATGCCATTTTATTATCTCCTTTTGTTTTTTGGTGAGGGTAATTACACAGGCTATTTCTCCCAAATGGATTCCAAAGCCTCACCTCAGTTTTGTCTTTTGGTTTCAATGTCATTTAAATAAACAAAAATGAAAAACCAACACAACTGACAAAGGTTCCATTCACATAAAGGGTGCATGACTTATGCAAACAGGGTGCATTCGGCATGTTTGCAGCCTCAAGTCTCCTTGTGGCTAATGAGCAAAATAAATACAATTAAATATAAAAACAAATCTACAGTATTCTTTTAGGACTTAATAGGTTGTCAACGAAATCTGAATAACTAAAAGTTAAAAGTAAAGGCACTTTAACAATAGAAAAAACTGCTAAATGCTGTAAAGTAGTCTATGTTACTGTTCAACTAATTCCTCTGTTAACCTGATATGTGTGGCTGATTGTTCTTCCCCTCAGTCCTTTTCACAATACTGTATTATTCCTCCCAGTTCAATCACAATTAGAGTTACTCATTAGCAGGCAATGGTCACAAATGTTTTAGGTGAGTGAGCTGAATCGGAGACAGGTATGGTTGCAATGGTAAGTAACACTTAGATGAACTTCTTTCCAAAGGAACAGCTGCCTACTTGGGACAAATCCGAACCATTAAGGCATGCGTCCCAATTAAGCAGCTTCTAAGATTATTTAGTATGCACTGCTGAATATTCAGTAGTGCAGTACGTTCTGGCGTCGGCATGTCTTAATCTAAGAAAAAGAACATTCCCTTTCTTCTCAGTTTTCCGGGGCTTTCTTGGATCTTCCTTGGGAAGAGGTCAGAGCCTCTAGGGAGGTGTGATTTGACACAGAGCCTTACCAGGACTGGAGGAGAAAAAGACAAAGCTAATACTTCTGTGGGTTCATTACAACAGCATGACCAGGAGAGTGGGTTAGCTCAACACCAGAAAATAATGTATATTTGGGTCCTTTCTCTCTTGAACAACCCTTTCAAAAGAGATCACCATCCTCTAGAGCAAATACTCAGCACAGTTTAATCTGATTTACAATGAAACATTCTAAATGTCAAGAGGAGACTATACCCCTATGAACTGCATGATCCCGCAAGCTACTGCTAGCTGTCAGCATTACATTCTTGACCCAGACAATGGCCCTGCAGCACATACAACTGCTTAGACTGCAGTAGACTCCAAAAGTGAGACATCCTCAAGGGTATCAAGACAAATAGGCTGAATTTACATTTTTCCTCACATAAGAAATCCAGACAGCTTGACATTATATTTATACATTCTGTTAATTTTCTGCTTCTAGAATTACTTGGGTACTTGGCTCCAGCAAATATTTAGAGACTCAGAGATAGAGATTAACATGTAAATACTTCCTTTAAATAGATAAAATACTGAACCTCAATTTGTTTCTAAAGAGGCTGCAGAATATATATTTAAAATGGTGCAATAAAAAGTTTCTGTTCAACCCAGTGGCTAAATATCATTGAGTTATAGTAAGACTGTTATTACAGTTTCTGAGGAAAGATGATGATGTTTAGTTCTATGAATGGGGAGACCGACCTCTGTCAGAAAGACTAAAATTATGTTAAATGTAAATAATCTATGACAGCAATGGAACAAGCATGTCAAAAAGCGAACATAACGAAAACACCTTGAAAAACTCATTAGGTAAAGATCATTCATTATACTTGTGAGTGTGATGTTACCATACTGCATGTATGTTAGACATGAGGAAAAAATGATTTCCATGGACTAATCTGTGCATTAAAGACAAACAAAGAGATGAGTGACAGAAAGGTTGGATTCAGTTGCTTTTCCTCTCTGTTGGCCTGGGTTTAAGCCTCACTTACACCAGATATGAAATGAGTTTAGTGAACGGCAGATTGGAGGTAAAAGGTGGGGGAGTGTGAACAGTGGAATTTGGCAGAAAAACCTGCACAGGGCCCTTCCCCATCCTTTTTACTTTCCTATATACTCAGATTCACCCCACATTTTGAGAGAGAGAGAGAGAGAGACAGAGAAAGAGTGCAAGTGTAAGATGAGTGACTGAATTTCCTGAAATAGTTATGATTCCATTATAGTTGTTTTTTTCCTTCTCCAGAATAGCAACAACAATCTGGTTTCAGTGAAAATTAGTTCCAAAGGGTCTGTTGACTCCGTAAGTACCCTCCCCTTCTTTTCTGCCTTTCATTGTCTAGTAAACAGGACCAAGAGGGCACTGTTATTTTGTTCTTGGTTTGGAGCAATCATTATATTTGGGAGGTCAGTTTGTGGGGACTCTACTGAACTGCTTTGAATCAAATCCAATGCCATTTTCACATGACATAGTTTATTCTACTTCTCCTGTGAACCTGGCATCTACTAGAGGATTTTTGTTGGAGCACATAAACCTGATTTGTTGGAGCAGAACACACTTGTAAACTTTCCTGTCCATCAAGAGTGCTCCTCTGTCACCTACTGGGTACCTATGACAAGGGGCCATGTCCCCATAATCATGTTACATGGTTAGCACAGAGACAGACAGACAAACAAACAAGCTGTTAATGAAAAATGATTGCCAACCATACAACAAATGTCAGGCCAGTGTAAAATTTCATACCACACAGGACATACTGGAATAAGCATTGTCAGGTTGGCATTTATGATGTTATTTTCATGAATAACAAGAAATAATGCAACAAATAAAAGTGTGTGTTGGGGGGGAGGAGAACTAAAACCAGAAAAAGCAAGCAAATAGTTGTTAAACTGTATTAAATGGACTTTAGTGCCTGCCAGGCCTTCAGATAACATCCAGGAAGAATGCACCTGCTGAACGTCTCAAGACACCAGGCCTGGGATTTCAACAGAGTGTCAAATTTCCTCCACACTTGCCCTGTTGATATTAATTTGTTCTACTTCTCCTTACTGATCATGATTAATTTAAAACAAGCATAATTAGAAATGTTGAAATGGAATTTTTTTGTGCATCAGCTTTCAATGATAGAAAGTTCTCATTCTCTTTTCCCTTGTGCTTTGGGAAAATCTTCCATCTTTTTTCAAGTTATAACCTCAACAAATCATGATGCTAAATAAAATAGTTCCCCCCCGCCACATACACACACACACCCTTTCTGCATAATCTCGGGAACCTGAATGTTATTCTTTTCCTGTGTTCATTGCTGTTTACCGATGTAACTCTAATTGGTACAAGCACAAAAGAAAAAAGACTTTATTTTTGTCTTTATTTATAATTGTTCTTTTCATTTATTTGAAATTCCTGGTTTCCATAATGTTCTATTCTTTGTTTGTTTCATTCCATCGATTGTGACTAAATATCAGCTTCTGAATTCAGCAAGCTATCCTAAGCATTTTTTATCCCTGTGCTCTAGTGAAGATCAAAGATATCTAAAGAAAAATCTTGGCCTGTTTTATTTAAACTAGTGTTCCTGAATAGAAGAATGTATTTATCCTCTGCTACAACAATGATCTCAATAAGCTGCTGTACTATCTCTCTGTTCTATTGCTTCTCTCCTTTACAGAAGGAATGCAATTTGCACATTTAAGAACACACAATACAGCTAAAATGTTGCTTTTTTTCATCTTACACAGAACTATAATTGTAGCCTTTTCACAGAGATCAGGTTAATTATCTTGAGTCTCTTTTAAGGTTCTGCGGAATAGAAGTGTCACTTTTTTAAAACAAAGAAGTCTATGACTGTGTCTTCAAAAAATAAGAAACCCCATCAGAAATAGTCTCTCTGTAGAAATCTACCTCACCGAACATGCCAACTGATCTTCTCCTTTACGGAAACTCTGTAACCCAGCGCAGTACAGGAGATACAAAGTCCTGTTCTGGGCAAAGGTTGATGCACTAGTAGCTAACGGAACTCACTGTGCATCTGTTTAGACTTCAGAGATCAATATGAATTATTTTGACATTGATCTTGTCAGCTGGCTCAGCTGTCATAAAACTCCTGGACTTGTCACCAAGAGTTGCTGTGTAGCCTGACTCCCGTTTATCAGAGTCAAGACATTTCACAATCTACATTAGGAGGTGACTCAATCTGCAGGTCATCTGCCAAAGGTAATCAGGTTTTCACACTAATAAAGTGAATGCATTTAACTTCCTCTATAGAGAATTTTTTTTTTCTAGGCTTCGGAACTATTGCTCAGTTGCCTCTCAAGAAGACCATGTTCTTAATCATCTTTTTTGCACAGAATAATACATTTTGCTATACAGTAACATCCCTGCCACGGCCAAAGGACAATGTCTTTTCTTTACAACACCTTCCACATTACCACCAATCAGAGACTGATCAAGGAAGGGCACACAAACACAAGTGACACCATGAATCATGGGGTTGATCTAAATGACACATCCAACAACAGACTTCATTCCCCATTTTTCAATATTAAAATAAAACTGGAGAAATCTCAAACAAAACAAAATTAATTCACAAGAATACCTCTCAACACAGCCTCATCTTTAAGCAAGAGTGATAAAACAACAAAGAGAGATGTGGTATACTTAAGGGAGCAGACTGTATTCTCCCAGAATGTGGGAATGCTCTCTCAGAACGAAATAAGGAGTTTGTGATGAGTGAGAGCTTTCCCACCTCATGAGGATCAGTTGAGAGGTATGATCACAGTAGTACACCAGGAAGAATGATTAACATGGCTGAGCTGACTGTTAAAGGTGCAGTCCTCCTTTTAAAATCTTACAACCAATGTATTTTAAAGGCACAGTAATAACACTGTTTGTTAAGCTCTCCTGTTCACAAGAAATGCTAGTTGCAAAGCTTGGACCCTGAGGCTGTCAGGGCAATTTTAAATAAGGATTAATAGCATTTGCCTGAAAGCTCTAAGGCGAGTGTTTGTAGAATGATAACACTTTGTAATAAGTGGGGATTCCTATAAAGGCATTCATAGGGAACTGTATTTAACATGGCTTATCAGGATTAGTATTATTAATGAATGGTAAAGAAAATAATAATGATTAAAGTGTTTATTGATGGTGATATTGTGAGATTAATATAAGGACAGATTTTTTTAAAAAGGAGGTCCCCAAACTGGTGCTCATAAAAGGTTACATTTAATGCGGTGGTGATACTAATGCTTCTTTCTTAGGTCTTCAGAGCAATAGCTAGCAGTGGAAAAAGCCACAACAGGCAGACAAATATTTTGGCTTGGCAAGATTTTTCTTTTTTTAATTCCCTCAGTTGTTAGGAATTAAAAACTGTTGGCAATCAACGCTGAAAACTGAAGTCGGGTTACTACACCTTTGACTTGCAGGCCTGAGTATCGATGAACAACAAGAGACAGACATGGAAAGAGAGACAAAGGGTGAGGAAGAGAGACAGAGGATAGAGGGAACTGATTATTTCCCAGCACAGACACTGACAGACAGGTAGTGTTGACACTGTACCTAGAGAGGCTGCCCTCAGCGGCCAGGCCCTGGGAGTCATCGAGGACATTAGGTTCACTGCAGGAGGGGCAGGGAGATGAAGCATTTAGGGAAAGAAAATGCAAAAAGCATGCAACTGTCTCTGTTTTCAAGAAAAAAAATATCAACGGAATAAGAAAAGAAAAGGAGGACGGTAAAATCATTTGGTCTTGCACTGGCTCATCAGAACATATGACTCAAGGCGTTGAAAGAGGAACATCTGATCAATCAAATTCTGGATAAAAGGAGCAATTTAAAAATGGAGGCTATGATACATGGAGACCTCCAAATCTATACAATACCTTGCATGAGCTAAGAACCTCATTGAGGTGTGATTCTAGTGCAAATAAGGGGTGGGGAGGATGGGGCTTAGAAAGTTTTCAAACCATTTTATTGCCTGTATTTCCTTTGATTGTATTCTATTTACTTCCAGTTTCATTTAAGATCTTCCCCCTACCACCACCCCATCAGTTCACTTATTCAGGGTTCTCCTTGAAGTGCTAATCCACTTATCATGAGCTGTAGAACAACTTTCTAGTTCTGATGCCATTAAAAGGCCAAACTGCTGGAAAGCATGATCTTGCATTGCAATGAAACTGTAAGTAAACAGCTGGAATGTATACTGGCAAATCTGTACCCAATCACACCGCCTCAACTGCTGCCTACTTCCCCCATCAAGCAGGAACAACCAGCAGTATTCCATCCTGTTCCCTCATATGTGAAATATGAAAGGTAGAAAGAGGTCTGGTGGATTACCAGCAGGAAAGCAATAATATTACTATACATTTATTAGTTCATTTATTAGTTTACATGTGTAATACACTCAAAAAATCCCAGAGACCATTGCTCATCCATGACAAAAATGGGTATGCAGTTGAGAACAAGGATTATGCTTGCTGGGCCAATGAAGTATCTACCCTACACAGTAGATTTCATGCTTAAAAAGTCTAACAGTCCAAATCTATATTGCAATTAAACTACATTATTGTTCTCAGCATCACTAATTAAAAAGCACCACAGCCCACAGGAAAAAAATTACAGTAAAATATACTTATTTTAAAGACACTAAGGAAATGGAATGAAATGAGTTTAAAGGTGTCCTCACAAGTACCCTTTATGCAACTCTGGGATACAATTTGAGTGGCTTCTAGTTCAGCAATTACCTCCCTTATCATTGCCGGTATATACTATAGCTGTTCCTTTTAGCTGTTACATGCTCCATACACTGAGGGATTTCTAACTGAATTAAAAACAAGGCTGGGCAAAGGGACAATGGCCAGTCATAAGATAATGCAGAATTCACATTTTCAAGGTTTATAAAAAATGACATAAATGAATCTATACATTGACCCTTTATCAGAGCTCTTTGCAAATCTATGTCACATATAAATAAGAAATAAACATTGTTTACTGAAAAATAACAGAATTTAATTGGAAAAATCTCCTGTTCATTGGCTTCTATGTCACACACCTGACTAATGAGTGCAATGTACAATACCCAAATCCTCTCTCTCTCTCTCTCACTCTAAAAAGAGGCCTCCAAGATTAGCTCTAGCAGACAGAGAAGTTTCTGGTTTAGAATAATCCCACTTCTCTTTCTGCCATTAGCTAATGTCCAGAGGAAAACTAATTTTTGTTCTGACTTGGGGGTTGAGATTGTACTGAGGAAACTTTCCCAGCACCTTGGGCTTTCTCCCTACTCATTTTAAGTGCTGTATGCAGGACTCTGGCTCAGAAGGAAACCTCTAAGTGTACTCTGCACCCTGAAATCATGCCTACACCTTTGAAATCCACCACATCAACCGGCATGGCATTAGCAGAGAAACACTAAAGATGCTGTCAGTTTCTGACGGGAACGTTTCTAACAATGAAATGTGGTTCTCATGAAGGTTATGCATTATACATTGTATTGAAGAACTATTATGTTCTAACCTGCAGCAAGTACTTGCACTGACATCAATGGGACTACCCGAATGATTAGCCTTTTAGTACTCAGGTGCTGAATTTACCACCCTCACCCTGCTGCTGTTACACACAATATACCTTTGGAATGTCTGCTCTGGAGAACAGAGTGGGAAAGGTGAAAAGCACATGTTGTTACCTTTGGCTGGGTAACATGCCCACCTCAGCCTGAGGTGCAGACATGCTGGAGATATGGCTGGAGAACCGCCGCCTCCCAATGGCACCCATAAGGTAGGCTTCCTGTTCACTTACCACACTGGGTATGCTCACTGAATCATCTAGAAAGGACATGGGAAAGAGACCAAAAAAGAAAAAAATTCATCCAAAACCCCAATGACACATTTAAAAGTTTCCAGGTAATTCCAGATCCCGTTCCATGTTCATGGCTAGTGCACGCAGAACTCTCTAAGTCACTCAGGTCCAACACTGCAAATGTGTGCATCTGCTTAACTTTTCTACCACAAGTAGCCATAGTAAAGTAAAACGTGCATAAATGTTTGCAAGTTCAGGGCTTTAGACTGCAAGCCCTCCGTTATATATTTGTACATTGTTTCGGACAATGAGTTCAGGGTGTGTAGGTGCTACCACAGTACAATTATTATTTTTAAGTTGTCCAACAAAATATGATGCCTCTTGAGAATGAAAACTATAACTGGACATTTTGCTCGTAAAAAAATTAATACATTTCAAGAGCCAGAAAAATCAACCTTATTAAAAGATGAAAGGAAAGAGGAAGAGATGTACAGACTCAACAGCATCTAACTTGCAAAATGCAGTATTTTCTCAAATTGCTGATCTTATATTCACAACAATATGGGTGAACTTACGCAAAATAAGTCTGTCACATATGTTTGATTTTGATTAGAGCTGGTTGAAATTTTCAACAAAATTTTGAAATAAAAAAAAACCTGACCAACTCTATAGCTAGTCTGAAAACAGAGGACAAATTCATTGAAATTTTTCTGTATTTTAAATTTTTTTTTACATTTCAAAATAAAAACTGGAGAAATTTTCATGTAATATTTCTTTCCCCCCCTTTTTTTACCAGCTCTAATTTTGATATGTTGAGATAATCTGTGGGTGAATATATTCTGATAAATTCCTGTTTCTAGGAAAAAATATTACATATTTATATTGTAATTGCATTTAAAGAGGGCATGTATCATTCAAAAATAAATCCAGAACTACCTATATTTTCACTTACATCACAAGGGAACCTGAAAGCTGTTGAAGTTTTAATTTCTTCTTATGAACACCAAGATGTGGAAGTTTTGCTGCATTTAATTATGTGAATTTGAATGCTATACCAACGCTGCTGCATTTATTTGATAAAAAAAAGTCTATGTATTTGTAACACAAACACAATAACTCTCCTATAACATTGGAGGATTCTTTTAATCAAATGATCACTTTTGACCTGCTAGTATTTTCAACCCAACAAGTAGTTTAAATACTACTTATGGAAAGGTTCATGCTGTATGTTGTTCCTCCAACATGCCATTAACTAAACTGCCTCAATACCTTCGCTTTTAGAATTAATTTTCCCTGGAGAATTTAGGTTCATTTCTTTGGGTTATTTTGGTGGCTCTCTCATGCTTCTTTTGGCATGTCAGCCAGCTTTAAATCAGACTGGGGTGGGATAGTGCTGGCTCTAGAATCTTTACTGGCCTAGGCAAACAGGAAGATATCTACTAATCACAGCTTGCAATCACTTGTAATGAATCCAAGACTGTCACCAGAAGATATCATGGTCACCAACTACAGTGTGTAGAAACCAGGACACAAGCTGTGCAATGTTTTGTAATAAATCCATATGCATCAAGTTTCAGGAGGAGCACTCACTCTGTTAGGGACACCTTCTCCACACAACAAGCCCATACACTTCATTTCATGTTCTAGGGCCATTGCCTCTCTCATGTCTGATATTTTCTGGGAAAAGGCAGTTGTCCCCAAGCACCAAAGGTGAGTGGCAAGGGTTTCAAGCCATTAGGACAACCTCTGTACCACCAAAAGACAATAAAAGCTACAGGAGTAGGAAGCCCAAGCCTCCTGCATAGAGATGAGAGGGGCTCCTGGCTGATGGTTTTGAAAGAAGCCAGGCAAAACTTGGACGTTTCTGATATCAAAACTTAATTCAGGCAAACTCAGTGGTTTCAATGAGCTTCCCTTCAAACTCAAAGTGAAACTTGGACTGTGCAAATCCACAGAAACTATAAAAAACTAAACCCTCTCTGCAAAGAGACCCCAGGATGTTTCATACAACTCAGAACCTTTTCTGCCTCTATCACTGGGTATAAAGGAGTGGAGTATTGGCTGACAGAAGTCTTAAGGCTTGATGTCCTCTGTTAATCAGCTAATGCAGTGGTTCCCAAACTTGTTCCACTGCTTGTGCAGGGAAAGCCCTTGGCGGGCCGGGCCGGTTTGTTTACCTGCTGCGTCCGCAGGTTCGGCCGATCGCAGCTCCCAGTGGCCGCGGTTCGCTGCTCCAGGCCAAAAGGAGCTGCTGGAAGCGACGGCCAGTACGTCCCTCAGCCCGCACCGCTTCCTGCAGCTCCCATTGGCCTGGAGCAGCGAACCGTGGCCACTGGGAGCCACGATCGGCCGAACCTGCAGACGCGGCAGGTAAACAAATCGGCCTGGCCCGCCAGGGGCTTTCCCTGCACAAGCGGCGGAACAAGTTTGGGAACCACTGAGCTAATGTATTACAAAATGCGCACAAATGCTTGAGTAGGTCCGACATCCCAACCAGCACAGACACTAGCCATGACTTGAGCATACATAGTGCAGGTACAGGTACACATAGGAGCCTGTGGTTCAGAGATGAGCAGGAAGTGCATAGCAAGCTGATACTGCTGCAATGTGATGCCTGCTACATAGCCACCAAATTTCTCCTGCCTAGTAGCAGGATTAAGGCCAAAGAGGGGACTGTTTAGCTAAATGCCTTATCAGCATTGTGAGGACTGCCCATGTCTTTTCTGCTTTATTCACAGTCTATACCTGCACCCTACCGTTCCTCAGCCCTGTGCTCAAGCGTATGGAAGGAAGCACGTAAGGACTTGACATTAACAACTGCATAGTGTGGCGACCACCCCTAATACTGAACTGTGTGCCCACATGTGCCCTCTATTCACACGTGTGCTGGAGAGCAACAACCTTTTCCTCCCGGCTGTGCACAGAACAAGGGCTTGCAGCATTAAGGCCTCATCCAGTAAAGAGTCGCTGATCATTCTACTGCTCAAAACAACACCCCCTTCTGCCTGTACAGCAGAGCTGGGCCTAGGCAATGAGGGGCTGCTACTGTACTCTGATCCTGCCCCAGCAGCCACATACTTTCTTCATCCTCCTCATCCGTGCGGCTCAGAGTGTCCTGCGAAGCCTGATGGGAAGGCTCGCTGTCCTGCTCCCAGACGGTGCCGGTGCCTGTGTTGGAGCGGGACATGGTAGCGAGGCTGAGGCGATACGCAGAGGTGGAAGTGCCCACGGTGCTGATGGAGGTCTTCCCTTGGTAGGCTGCACAGAGTGGAAAAAACAAAGCCGAGTCAGTTCCGATGCTGAAAGAAATATTGTTCCCAGTAGGGCGAGGGCGTCTTCCTCAGCCTGGATTTATGGGAAAGGCAAGAGAAGTGGGAAAGACAGAGGGCCGAATGGCCTTCTGCAGCAGCTGTGAAAGAGAACTCTACCACTGCTTGTGCTTACTTGACACCAGATCAATACAACTGCACTAGCTCAGCTAGCCTGTAAGAAACCTTTGTCACTGCAAAGATTTCTTATGTCCCCCGATTTTCTCCCTGAGCCATACTGCCATATTCACTGCCTCTCTGCGACGTTTAGCAAGCAAGGCACATTATTATGGGGCAAAACAAGTGGAGCTACTTTCTTTCTAAGAACAAAGTACTCGATATAAAGTTTCCTACAATCTGGAAGTAATGACTGCTCTCTAGTGGCAGCAAATGTACACAGCAAAGGACAAAGTTTGCAGAAGTGGCCACTTTATGAATGGTCAGGAGTTTTCCTGTTGATTTCAAGGCATAGATTTGGGCCAAAAAATGCTCAGCTGTCCTTTCACAGGGAAAAAAGAAAAGAAATATCTGCTGCTAATAAACAAGTAGCTAATCCTAAAAGAGGGGAGCCAAGACTATCTAGACTATTTAAAAACTATTTTCACCTCTACAGCCTTGGTTAGAATGCACTTTGGTCAGTAGTGACTAAAAGAGGCTACCATCTGACAGCTGTCTGAAAGCATATGAGAAGTGAGATGGTGTTCTTAGTTTAGTTAGTGGAGAGGTGAATGTAACAAGGCTGCCATTACAATGGGTAGTAATTTGCACTTTTGTTGTCTATCTCAGCTGATGGGGCAGTGATTGACAGGGCATGAAAACCAACCCTGTTGCCCTCAGTGTGTTCTGGCACATTAACGAGGCAGCACGGGGGAGCTCTGTATGATGTACCTCGTCTTTTCATAAAGAAGGGGCTTCAGTCTCCTGGGCTGCCACGCCAGCACCTTTTGCAAGCACAAAACTCACTTAAAAAAAAAAAATTACCATGCGTAAAGCACCTGCTGCTGTTGGTGTGCTGTGCACCCCAGCAGAGAGGACGAAGCTGTCAGTGCATTTCTGTTTTTTGTAAATTCCATGTATTTGTTGTAGAAGGAGGAGCTGCACATTTTTATGCATTTAAGTTTCCATATATTAAATCAAGTTTCACACACAGGGCTATCCTATGGGCAAAATTATTGTTTCTTGCCGTACGTACCCACACAGAGGGGTAAGAAATCCTCTCTCCTCTGCGTGCGAGCATCCTCCCCCTCCCAGGACAGCCTTACCTGACCCACTATGCACTGCCTCCTTCAGGATCTTGAGCTCGCTGTTGAATTCTGTGATGAGGGAGCTCTTGCACAGAGGGCGTGGTATGAAGCGCCTCTCTAGCTGGTCAGCGATATGTTGTCGGGCAGTCATCTCCTCGTGATTCTCTGCGGGTTGGGCCAGCAGCTGACAGAGAGGCACAACAACCCCTGTTAGCACAAGAACACCCCAGCATCAGAGAGAAACAACGTTCTGTCCCTTTCCAACTAGCTTGTGAGTGCTCTGGCATCGCAGTCCCCTGGCTGCTTGTACACCTACAGATTTTTGTCCGTGTATGTAAGAAGTTGCTACAGCAACAAGCAGAGGGATGTTATCCAGCTAGGGATGAGCTTTGTAGTTGCATGTGAAAACACAACCAAACACGCAGGTTCTCTCTCCGCTTTTTGGAATATGCATATCTGACTCAATGTATATTGAAACCAGTCACTGTTGCTATTAATATATTAGTAGTATATCAGGGCTTCCTTGTGCTAGGCAATACATTTACACACAATAAGAGACAGTCCCTGCCCCCAAAGAGCTTACAATCATAGAAAGGTGGGGCTGGGAGGGACCTCGAGAGATCATCGAGTCAAGACCCCTTTGCTGTGGCAGGACCAAGTAGACCAACCCTGACAGGTGTTTGTCCAACTTGTTTTTAGAGGCTTCCAATGATGGGGACTCCAGCTATACATGTCAGCGTAAGTAGTAGCAGCTTGGGCACACCAACTGCCTGTCCATTATCAAGAGCTGTGTTGGCTTATGGCTCAAAGCCAATACAAAGTGGGAAGGCGCTTCCCATCAGATAAAGTCAGTGTAAGGTTCTCCCCCCGACCCAACCAACAACCCCGTTTAAAAAAAATATTCTCTTGATACATCCTGCTACCCATCCCAGATCCTGTTCGTTAGATCCACACCACCCCCTAGTGGCCTGGTTTCTCAGGGCTTGTGTTCATTGCCGAGTTAGTCTGGGCGCTTACTTGGGCATTGCTCCTAACCCAGCTCCCATCCACACACAAAAACCTTTGACCTGAGGTTGGTGCTTTCAACCCAGGTTAACTGGCCCATCCTGGGCTATAGTGCTAAACCCTGATTCTGCTTTCACTCAGGTGGGTAACCCACTCACTTTTTGCAGTGAGCACGCAGGCTAACCCACTTGAGTGCCAACAGTCATCCAGCACCTTCCCATAATTTCTCCATCATGTGCCAAAACGGACAGACAAGTTCTCCCACAATCCACTGGGAGAGAATCACTGCAGCACAAAGAACCATGGGCCGTCCCCCAGAAATCCCAGCGACACACCAGGGTGAGTGCAGCACCAGTGACCACACAGTAATGTGGGTGGTGCCATGCAGCTTGGCTGCTCACACCTGGGCTAGGCTAAGTCAGGTGCTGATCATCTGGGCTAACGCTGCAGTGAAGACATACTCTTATTGGTTGGGGCAGAGAACTAACCCTGTCACCAGGGTATCTGGGAATTGCAGCTCACTCCTTCACCGATCTCCAGTGTGTGCCCGACACGGACCTCGACAGTTACTGCTAAGAGCCAGGGGAAAGAGTGGGGCAACTGTAAGGCCTCTGGCCTGTCCCCCTGAACACTTTTAAAATGTTTCTCATTCTGTCACTGGGCCATCCAGGAATTAGACAGGCCTTTGAGTTGGTGGCAGAAGGTCCCTCATGCAAGATTAATTCATGAGGGGATAGCTGGTTTATGAGATCTCTCTACCAATCCCAGGCTTCACCATATTATTTGGCAAGCCAGGGTTTATGGGGGACTAGCATTTGGATTTTTCCATACACAGATCCGACACCTGTAACCACTAATCTGAAATTAATACAAACATTAGCCCCAAAGCTGAGCCAATTTATATAAAGTCGCCTCAATAGTGGCCACTTGTGACCTCCTTTCTAAGGCTCTGATGCCAGGAGTTGACCAAGTTCCTGCAATTACCTTTGAAGTCAGGGGATGCTCAGTGCCTTGTGGGATAAGGCCCTAACAATGCAAGGTGAAATGCCTGCCCAGTGTGTAAGGATTCCCGTTAGCACCTTGAATGCTGGCCCATGAGAAATCTTCCTGGCTTGTGGAATGCTGGAGGCTTCCTTTACTCTGCCTATATGTCTGCCTGAGAGAACCACCACCCAGCCGGACGGCGGAGGTTGAGTTGATGGATAATTTACATTTACTCTAATATCCATTATTACACTATCAGGGGGAGGGATAGCTCGGTGGTTTGAGCATTGGCCTGCTAAACCCAGGGTTATGAGTTCAATCCTTGAGGGGGCCATTTAGGGATCTGGGGCAAAAATCTGTCTGGGGATTGGTCCTGTTTTGAGCAGGGGGTTGGAATAGATGACCTCCTGAGGTCCCTTCTAACCCTAATATTCTATTCTATCATCATTAACCTATCCAAGTTCCAAGAGAATTTCAGGAGATGGTGATGAGTCTCATTCTGCACCAGTGTGGCATTGTGGATCCGCTGCATTAGAATTCCCATCATTATAACTTACTCTTTGAGTTGCCCCTAAAAATCCACCGTGATGGATGCTCCTTAGCTGCAAGAGGGTCTGTACACAGGTCTGCTAAAGAACCAAGATCTCGGAAATGCCTCCAGCCATCCTTCCGAGACAAAGCACAGGAGTCAGGGGTCATTTCCTATGCAAAAATACTCTTCTCCCCAAGACTGCGGTCGCCCCCAAAGCCCGTGTCACATTCTCCTGGCAAGGCAGTGTGGGGTGTCTTGCCTAAAAATATTATCTAATGAAGCAGCTGATACTAGGGAGAAAGCCAGTGTTACCTTGCACTGAATGAAGGGCCGCAGAAGCACAAAAATAGGGATCCGGGTGCGAACAATAAAATCCAGGAAGTCCCAGAGGGCCAGCCCTCCCACCTTGCGCAGGGCCATCTCTTTGACTTGCAGGCTCAGCCAGTACCACTGGCTGCCAAGCTGGCGCTCAAAGCACACGAGGATCACCTTCAGGGCTGCAGGGGAACAAACGCCAGCACGTGTAAAGCGCTGCAGAGCCAGAGCCATTAACTCCAGCCTTTAACAGCTGGAGTATTTGCAGCGAGCAGTGCAGTACACACACACCTAGGCCAGTTTCTTTACCATCAGCTGCTAACTCCTGCTGGGGAGTACGGCAGTCTTGGGGTTAGAGGACAGGACCTGACAACAGGAAGCACACGTTCTGTTCCCAGCTCTGCCAGCAAGTTACTGGAAGATTTTCCTTCTGTACAGCTATGTTCCTTTAATTTCTCCATGAGATACCACCCCGTCCAAAGTTCCCGGACCGCACTAAAGAATTCTTTCCCTTTCCTGGGGATTTACTTCTTTCAAAACCAGTCCAGCGTGGGGATAGGTTCCATTCTCTGATCAAGGACAATGGAGAGAAATCAAGGCTGTGCAACCCCCCAGAGGGAATGGCCATGTAACTGCTGTTGGGAGGTCGTTAATGGGGCTATGAAGAGAGACCTTGCAGTACTGCAGCTGCCAGAGCCATACACCAAAGGTTATTTTGGATCCAAGAAGCCAAGTATCAGAATCCATTAGCACAACCCATTGAAAAGGTAATTTACGAATGAACAAGGTTTAGGCTGGAAATGAGGCTGCTTATTAAAGGCTAGATTGTGACATAGGGGGTATATCCCCAAGTGGGGCAGTAAGAATGGCCCTTACCCTCCCACTCGGGATACACAGACCTTGGGCCCAGGCACAGAAGAATAAGCAGGGCTATTTGTCCCCTTGCTCCTTCCCCAACAAAAGACGGTTGGGGAAGTGGGTGCAGATTTGACTCCACCTCTCTCTGCAAGTTTGCCCAGACTAGCTGACCAGTGTGTGAGTGCTAGCGTAGGTCAGCAGCCAATTACCCCTCCCAAGAGCAAACGGAGCAGGAGAGGATCTATCAATCAGTGAAGTATCTCTAACAAGACCATGCCTGCCAGAGCTATTCCTGGCTTGGTGCAGCATGTGCACCACTCAGTGCTCATGGCAGTGGCTAAAGCAGCTGTAAATGGCTCAGGGTATGCCTTCACTGTAGCCGAGGGTATAATTGCCACCTCGAGGAGCCATAACACACTAAAAATAGCGCACAACTGCAGTGGCCCAAGCGTGGGACAGGCCAGCGGCCACAAGTAAGGATCTAGGGTCTTGGATGGGATCACCGCCCCTCCTACTGCATGCACTGCCATGGCTACACTTCTGGTTTTGGGGCGAGTGTGTCTACTCCAGCTGGAAATGACACCTTCTGGCGGCAGGCCAGACATAACTTCCAGTCAGCTTGTGCCTGTGAGGATTTTCTCTGCCTTCCCAGGGGTTTCCTAAACGCTCCCTTTTATTTTTCTTTCTTTTGAGGGGTGAGGGGAAGCTCTCACTCACCCAAGTAAGCCGCTTGGCTGGTGGACTCTGCGAGCCCTTCCCTGCGCAGGTCCTTCCCAGCATCCCCTGGGGTGGAGCAGTGCGCAGGGGAGCTCTCCATCATGAAGTTCTTGCTGCGGGAAGTGCTGATGATCCGAGGTGGCAGAAGGATGTTAATAACAGTCTGGAGCAACAAAAGGACTTCAGGCTGCTCCAGCCAGGGACTGTCTAAGATCCATCAAAGGGGGTGGCAGGCAAGGGAAAGAAAGAAAACAGATGAGGCCATATCCTCTCAAAGCCATGAAAAAGCCTCAACCTCATTTTCAGTTCCCAGCTGTGACGTAATCAGAACATCCCTCAAACCAAGCCAATCCCAACCTTGTTATGTTGCTTCTCCTGTGAGCAAAGGCAAAGTTATTCTAGCTCCAAAATGCACGCTTGTCTGGCATCACCAAACCCTATGAGCATAATGACTCAGCCTCTTCTCTTCCCCTCACTCTTTGCTTTCACGCCTGTATTTGAGGTAGGCGCTTAAAAGTGACCACAATCTACAGAAGAAGACGGAGTGAGAGCATGATTTGGACCAGACAACTGGCAAGGAACCGGGTGAACAGCAACCAACAGTGGCAAATTCCTGCCCCCGTAGCTCTGTATCTTACACTATGGTGAATTTTGTCTTGTTCAGAACTCTGTCATTGTTCTGATTTCAAAAGGAGGTGCGCACCTGTTAAAGAGTGAGTTTGAGAACCACTGATCTGTGACACAGCTGAAACAAAAAGGAGAAACAACAGCTCCCATTGTAGCTCATTTCCATCACCCCAATGAGCTCTAACAACACAGAGAAAAAACCAAATAAGAAGCAACAACAGTAGGAAAGGCAAATATTTGTTGTCTGGGAGGGGGGAACTCTTTTTGTTAAATAATCATCAGACCTTTGCTTCCAGATCCTACTGTGAGCACAAACGGAATCAGTAGGTTTAAAAGCATTCCTTCTCTTCTCTCCTGATTGGTGAATGGGGAGATCACATGGCTTAAGGGAAAATCTTCTTTCAAAGCCTGCGCAGTAATAATAAGAAAGGATTAAATGATTTCATCAGAAGGTTAGAAATATAAACCACTGTGGAGAATGATGCAACAGAGGGTCCTGTGGCACCTTTAAGACTAACAGAACACCATGTGGAGAATGATGATTCCCATAGGCTTTGTTTACATAGCACAACACAGGTGATGGACTGATAAAATTACAAGCTCTGAGGAGGCCTGAAAAGGAGTAGAGCATCTAAATGTCACCTGTTTTTAACATAATCAAGTGATAAAGGGCATTCTGATCTCAAGTACACCATTATAAATCCAGACCAATCTATTCGGAGTCAATTTGTTGTTATTCCAAATCGACGGTGGTACAAATGAGATCAGAATCCAGCCTGAATTACCTGGAAAAAAAAAAGAGCAGAGGGAATTATATCAAGGACAAAAACAGCATCTCCCCATTTTCTGAATGTGGAGGTTACTCCAGGATCCACCCTCACTTCCCAGCCTCTTCACTTTGCTTCACTGACCCATAAAACCCTGATGTTATGGTGGCCTCCCTTCCTGAAAACAAGTAAAACCCACACTTGGATCTTGACAGTTATTCGAGTCTGAATGAAATGCTCCCTCAGCCTGAACAGGTTCGTGTCCAAGGCAGAAGAAGTTTAGTGGTGGTGGAAGAAACTAATTTGGGCAAACCGCTGAAGGTTCAAAGCTTGGATAGAGCATCCAAATTTTTAGATACTTAAGTGTGAATTGAAACTGAACCTCAGAACCGCTTGAGTCTGCAAAACTGGGGTGGAAATCCCAAGAGAAGAATCTTGTGGGATTTCCAGCACTTCCACTTCAGATCCTGCTGGGAATACTGGTGGTATTATGGCATTTCTAGTTTTGATCCCTTCTGAAACCCAGGAAAAACATGTGAAAATGGAAAAAAGCCCAAAACACATATGCAAAGATCCCAGAATGATTTTAAAAAAAGATTAATTTGGAGTTAGGTTCTAAACAGGGGTAAAGATTTGAGAGAAGGTACGGGTGGCTCTTATATTTTTAAGAACCAATCATCCAGCCTACAATGTCTCTGCACCAATCCGTGCCAATGTTCACCTTATGGATGCCATCTCCGGTTCCACTGTAAACGGGACTGTGTTGTGCTTTGATGCCTTGGCTCTATACCCCTCTTTCCCATAACACTCCCCATGCTCTGAAAAACCTGTCCAAGCGCTCAACTGGATGGTGGACGTGCCACTCATTGGTTAATTATAAACAGAAATGTCTGTTCCGCAGGTGCACTAGTCCACGGGCACAATAGTCCCGAATGAGGTCATTGTATCTTCTGACTGGCTGAAATACAGATTAGGGTCAGGAAACATGCACCTTCATTCTGTCCCTGTGTAGCTCTCTATTCCCTTTGTTTTCATGCCAACACGGAGGTATAACGCATATGGAAGCAGACAGAGTCCAAGTGCACATGGAATAGCTGCCTGCAAATGTATTTTAAAAACTTATTTATGTCTAAAATAGTAAACAAATGGCATCGATCTGAAAAGGAATATACTGATGAAATTCCTCCCAACGGGATCACCGTGTGTTCACTATTCTGGACAATCAAGGATGATATTTGATAAGCAGTTTAAAAGCCAACCATCGGTGTCCATTTGGACTTTTTTCTCTCCTATGTATTGTTTGCACAAACAGCGCCAGTTTGGTACTAGCTCATTGGGCCCAAATCCCACTCTCAGTTACGCAAATGACGCCCCATTAAGTTTGGTGGGGCTGCGTGGGGGCGACCTAGGATAGGATTGTTCACAAAAGGTAATAGAAGACTTTCTGCTCGGTTCCTAGATCCTGAGAGGAATCATAAAGTACGGAGCTTGATTCCCAGCTGGTGTAATTCAGCATAGCTCCACTGACATCAGTGGTGTTACGCCAGTTGAGGATCTGGCTGCTTATTAAGATCTGAGCTCCGTTCTGGTGCTCCAAACCTTGACCTACAGGGGAGAGATGACATTTTGTTCCACAGTTTTTGCCCAGCTGTTGCAGAAAAAAGAGCACCTATGAGTTGGTGTCTCAACCATAAGCTAAACGGGCCTGATACCAGGCAGGGCAGGCACACCTGTATCTGCAATGCTACAAGCCGGACAACAGCTGTGCTGAAGGGCAGAGGTGGCGAGAGATAAGGGCTGAGATGAAGAAGGGGTAATCCATCAGCAACACTGGAGGGTCCTACTACTCCCATCACCTGCAATACAAACAGAGCACATCACCAGCACTGACTCCTGCAATTCCACCCATGCCATACCCTCCAACATTTGTGAAAGAGAAACAGGTACACTTCAGACGGTGCGAGACTGGGGTGCTTGGGGAGCAGGAGTGCCCCTGAATGCCTCGCGGCAGCTGGGGCCACAAAGGAGAAGGGATGGTTCTAGCAGGGAAAGGGTGGAGAGGGTAGGGAACCTCTACAGGGGAAGCCAGAGGAGGTGGACAGAGTGCACAGGGAAACCGGTACATTTCATGAATGTACCCAGTACCAGCCCTGAGTAACCAGCACTGGACTAGTAGAATAGGTAGAGTTGGAGGATATGCCATGTAGCTACTGTATTCCATGGAAAAATGTAATACAAGCAGGAAGTTTGCAATTAACTTGTAATCCTTTTCCTTCCCTTGCTGATCTCTTGGAAGAATAATGTCCTGAGGCTGATCCAGTATTAGCCAGATCCAGGCCAAGTTTTGTACAATGTTCAGACTCTCCGTAAGCACAATGTATTATTGGGGACTCTATTTTGTAAAATTAACCTCTGAATCCAAATGACAAATTTAGGCTTAAATTCAGAGGTGAAAACCCCCTATTCTTTTCATTTAAAGATTTTCCCCATGTTCCTGGATACCATTGGGGGGGGAGAGGGGGGCGTTTGCTGCTATTGGTGCAACACTGAGTAGTGTAAAGGCTCAAATTTTCAAAGCTGGCCCCAGACAAAAGGTCTCCAAATAGCCATTGAGCAAACACGGCTGCCACAACAACAAAGGAGCCACTAGAACTCCGGCCATTATTGGGGCTCCCCACCGCACACCCACCTCCCCCTTGCGTTGTATGTAAACGCTATGTGGATCCTGAATGAAGATAAAGCTGTGGATGAATGCCAACAGGGCCAAGTTAGAAATGTGCTTTTATTTTGTTTTTAAGCTCTTCGGCACAATCATCAACTTCATCAGTTTTTCCAAAGCAAAAAAAAAAAAAAGGCCACACATATTTTCATTCTAGAACTCAAAGTCAAATATTTTTAACCCAAATGAAACTAAAAGTGCTACCATATCCATTTCCCCCAATATTGGTATTTCTTCCAACTCAGACTGAAACATCCCCCGCTGGTGTAAACAGTCATAGCTCCATTGACTTGATACTTCCTAGGTATCATGATCTTAGAAGCAATATTACATGTAATTATTGCTTATCACTATCAAATGGTCAGACAGGCTCCAAGAGTTCTGTGCATACCATCTTTCTAGTCATGAAAACCACAAGAGCTGTCTGTGCTCAAGTATAAAACACACCAACATTATTGTGTATTGATTAAGGATGAGAACTGAACATTGTACGACAAAAGCCTGCACTAGATCAAACCAGGGACATTACAAATGGCAGAGTGAATCCACTCATGTAACCCTCTAACTAGCCACTCAATGCCCTTTTACAGAGCAGTAAAAAGTTTCCTTCCTGGCTATAAACTGAAACTGCCCCTAGCCCCACCCGCCCATTGCTACCAGGTGTGTGCAGTCTCCACCACCCCACTCTCCAACTTGCAGCCCTCAACTCTCAGCGCAACATGCAGAGCTGGATTTTCAAAGTGGTGCATGGGAAGTAACACAAATAAATCACTTGACCCTGGGGATTGGTCCCTGTGTCTTCCCAGGCACCACTTTAAAAATGCACCTCACTATCTCTAGCGTCACCTGGGAAGTCTGCTTGCACAGGTGGATAGATGACAGGAAAAGGGATCAACTTTAACCTTCAGTCCAGAAAAGTCAACAGCAGAATGAAGCTTAGCAAAGGTTTATAATATTGCCACTTGGCTACTCACCAGATTGACACAGACATTGATCAGTGACCTAAGGTGAGGCAGGAAGGATATGATTGGCTGCCTCTGAAGTGTCAAACAAACCCCTTCAATCAAATTGCTGGCAGGCTCCCACTCAACCTGTCGCCTGGAATACAATAGTAGGTGCCGTTAGCTGGTTGGCTCCCCCACCAGACACTCCGAAACAAGATGACTGATACACGGTGACTCCAACAAGGAACGTTTAAGACAGCAATGACATCCATGATGGCAACAAGGTGCATTCCAGGGGCAAGAGTTTTACCCACGTTGTTCAGAGAGCACAGAACACATTGGGAGTTAGAGATGAGACTGGGAAGGTAGCAGAAGCATTCCTGCCCCGCTGGATTAGTGACACAAAAACCGTCACAACAAAAACAGAGAGAGAGAGAGAGAGAAAGAGAGAGGATGAATGGATTGGGATTCAATCCCTAACTTTTCCCCTTTGCAAGCGAGCCTGCGGGTGCAAACTGGGACATCCACGAGACAGCCAGCTCAGATGAACTTGTCTGATGACCGCTGCTTGTTTTACATTTAGGAAAGCAGTGCTGCCATGGCTGAGGCAGTCCTAGTGACGGACATAGTCATTCCACTCGGGCTTGTGAAATCCCTGTTGATTTAATGTAGACTTCACCACAAAACCTCGAGTGGAACAAACTCCAGCATTTAGGAATAGCTCCTCCCCCACTATCGCACAGCCTAGTCTGCTACATTGTGGGGACTCCCACTTAGCCTAAGCCCAGGGCACAGACAGACGCAGCACTACAGACTTCACCTTCTGCATTCCCCCACGGCAGGACAGACAGCTTACTGCCTCCCAGAACCAATAACCTGCCCTGACTACATCCCCTAACAATTGCTTTTTCCTTTATAGTGATTTTAGAGTCTGTAAAAGGAGCCAGATTGAGAGCCCTGGAGACAAAAGATCTCTTTTACCAGTTACAACCCAGGCAGCATCAATGTGCTTCCCAGGCCCCTGATCCTCAGGGGCTGTCTCTTTGGATGGGAGCACACCTCCCAAGTCTGTGCAGCACGGTGGGTAATCTGGCTGCTGGGGGCAAGGATGAGGCAGACACTGCATTACTAGAGGATGTGGTACTGTATCAAATTTCCAGTCAGATTCCATGGTAGGCTCCCTCGCCCAGGGAGTACCAGCTATGCAGTATGTAAGCCAGATACTGCACCACAGATATATACCTGGGCACAGGTAGGTCAATCCCTGTCAGGATTTCCCCAAACAGGAACGCCCACAAATAGTGAACCGGTGCTGCGACGCTTATACCATCCAGATCAGACTCCCACTTTTGAGCTGGACATCTATAGTAAGCAGTTCAAAACCTACAGATGGGTCCAGGGAGTCCCAGTGGGTCAAATGGCCTGCTGCTCTAAGCAGCAGCACGGAACTGGACCAGTGCTTGCAGCCCCCCACACCATTTAATAGGTTGATTGGCCAAACTATGAGAGAGCTGGTGGGTGCATTTGGGTCAGCTAGTAGAAGGAAGGCGAGTGACCCAGCAGCTCCTCCTGTGCCCGTGCCTGTCAGAAGGAGCAATTCTAGTCAGGTGGTTTTCTGGAGGTGCAGGTGGAGTTACTGGGAGGCTATGACAGGGATTCCAGCTGCTCAGCAACCTGTGAACAGGTTACAAAGAGAGGGGGGCTTGGGGGAATTTGTTTTAAAAACCCTGGGCTGCTTTTTTGGACCCAAGATGAAGAAGGGAAGGTAGAAAAGACAGCAAGATAATGGCAAAAAACAGCACTGGCAAGATGAGGCGGCATTAAAAGTGGGCCCCAATTCCCTACAAGGGCAGGTTTTTTTTAAAAAGTTTTCTTTTAATGAAGGGGAATGCAGTAGGAAGGCGGGAGAAGAGGGGCAGGGAGAAAGATCATATCTCCCCATCTCGCTTGGTGCCTACGGCACCTCTCATGATCAGAATTTCAGATGTTCTGTGGTGGGATGGATGGTATTTAAGAGAGAGGAGTTCCGTCTCCATACCCTTCCATCCTTGGCCTCTCAGCTAACATTGCTAACAAGGTCACCAATTCAAGGAAACGGTCATGGTGTTTGTCCAGAAGGGACCGGACCGAGACCACCAACGCCTTCGACACAGGCCACCAAAAGGCCATCAGATGGGGATTTTTATGCTACTAACCTGGACTGGAGTCACATCAGTGAGGTTGAAAGGCCCCATGTTCAATTATCATTCCCTGGAGCCTCCCACATTGCTTCTTGTGATGCTGCTTTCACCATTCACCAGCTAGATGAGATTGCTACACTCATGTCTTCTATTGCCAGGTGCATTTGAATAGTACTACAGTCCCAGACTATTGTTATCATTTGTACAGAGCCTTAAAGGATTGATATAGTAATCACAGACTTTAAAAATACTCTTCCCATAATTTAAATTTATGTCTTTTAAAACAGCAAACATAAAAGACACAGAGAGATAATGAGAATCTTTATAGCCTGAAGTCTTATTTTGGGAGAGAGGGAAAGTGTTAGATTTCCATGATTTCTTATGGTCACCCTCAGTAAAATATGCATTTCCTCTATTGCTGCCCGGAAGCCGGCACCAAGAAAAATGGCGACATACATATACACCAACAGGAGAAATGCGTCTTTGTTTTGTTTTGCTGTAAAAGTCAGTGCAGCATGACACTGTCAATAAAATGACATACCCTTACTTCAAGGCTTGCAACATCAGAAACGGACCCAAAGGTTTCCGTTACACCTGCTCACCTCAAAGTAGGCATCTTGTGAATTTTATTGAACATACGATCCAATCGCTTTAAGATGAGGATAAGGGCAGGTCTCACGGCCTCGGCTGTCCAGTCGGTGATGGGCAGCATCTCCATGATGTAGCGCCGGAGCCCGCGGCTTTCCATCGTCTGGGTGTCATAAGGTGCCAGCTTCAGAAGGGAATGTGCAATTTCTGCCAACCTAAAATTATGGCTTGTTAAGAGGGAAATCTGATACTCTGCAATGTGAGCTTCTCCACACAGAGCCATGCCAACCGCCTGGTGGAGGTATCACCAATCTCTTTTAACAGAAGGATATTTGAGGTAAGAGCACAGCAATTTAAACTCTTAGGTCAAATGATCACACATTCCTGGCCCCTTAAGAAGCTTCTTGTGGAACCAATATTTATGCATGTTCGTGTGTGGTATATAAGGAATACATCATCATGTGTATGTTTATGTGGATAGTGGATTGGTAAATTGCACCAAAAGGAACATAAAGAAAAGCTAGTTCATGTTATTAAAACAGTGGCATCATAGTATCTGTGTTCAGTGGATAATAATATATAATATGGGCAATCCTATTGAAGGGTCTCTGCTAGCATGCTGCAATCACCTGTAATGTGTCAGTGAAGCTGGAGTGGTTTGTCTTTTTGTAATGTTACCAGATCAATATAGGGGGATGACTGTGTGTATTTTTGTGCAATTTAAATGCACTTAACTTAATATGGTTCACAGATCCATGTAATCTGTGTTGTTTAGGATTATTTCTCCCAGCATGCTTCATTTTGCTTCTCCCACTAGCTTCATTTATTACTTTTTTGGCTCTTTCTGACTCTCCCAGATAGCGATGCTTATGGGGTTTTTAGCATCCCCCATCGGCGCCCATGGCAGCATTTACCTCATGCTTGGAATATGAAAAGCAGTTAAACATACTTGAAGACTTGCTGTAATTTTTTTTTGATGTGCTGAAATTGACACATTACCACAAAATGTTTCAATGTTGACAAAACTAAATTGTCCAAAAGAAAACTGTTCTGTTGAAAACTGCTCAACTAGCTCTAGTAACAGCCTTGGAAAGGTGGGTCTTGGGGACCAGTGCTGTGTATTGGAAGAGTATTTCCTCTTAGCTCTACACAGCAGGCCACTAAGGGAAAGATGGGGGAAAGGCTTAGGAAAAAGTCTGAAGAAAAAACAGCCATAAAACATGCACAAAATATTGTTTGAGGAGAAAGAAATTATAACCTGAGGCTTCAGGTGCTTTTCCAGCTCTGTCTCAGGCTGAAAGGGGGAGGGATAGCTCAGTGGTTTGAGTATTGGCCTGCTAAACCCAGGGTTGAGCGTTCAATCCTTGAGGGGGCCACTTAGGGATCTGGGGCAAAATCAGTACTTGGTCCTGCTAGTGAAGGCAGGGGGCTGGACTTGATGACCTTTCAAGGTCCCTTCCAGTTCTAGGAGATAGGATATCTCCATTAATTTATTAATGTGGTATGCAATGGCTGAAGGATACTAAAGGAGAGATACAGCTCCTAGCAGGAGGCCATAACCCAGATAGTGCAGGGAATGCACTGTTTGAAATCTTGTTGATATGTAGTGCTGTGAGGCTGTGCCAAAATGCCACAGCTCCTTAACTCTGTGAGATCCACCTTCTGGGAGCACTGTCATTCCTGAATGAATTTAATTTATGGTAACAGATAAACAGCTCAGCACTATTCTATGTATTTTCTGTATAGGTAGGGGTTATTTTATGTTCATTTATAATATTATTAACAATGTGGTAATAGGGAGTTGAAAAAGCCACATGATCTTCTTTTAGCTGCACATTAACAAAAATCTTTTTTCCCCCAGTCATATATTGTTTTGGCAAAGGTGATCAGGAGTTTAGATCTACACAGAGAATCCTAATGGCTATCAGCTTTTGTGGCTGAGTTTCTTACTTTGGAGTCAACAATGGCACCTGAAAAAAATCCAAACACATTCCCTTTGCTGTTTAGACACCCTAAGCTTGGATCTGATTTTAATGCAAATTGCTTAGGCAAAATAGTCACCCACTGTATCTTGTTATATGTGACTATGATCTGTTTTATCTGACAGCTTTAAATTCCAAAGACAGTCTATAGCGTACAAGAGATTTTTTTACAATCTTTTTGTAGCTGTGATTTGTTCTTTGAATCTGAGACTGGATTTTCCCATCTCTTCCTCAGAAAAAGTCCACTAAAGCTCCAGGGGCCCTTACAGCTCTCAAAGAGGAACCCTCAAAATTTCCACTATAAATTCTTTGGAGAAAAAGACGGCTCACCATTTGATTTCATGCTAACTATGGATGAGACCATATTTGTTTCAATCCCAGCAAGTCAGTCATTTCTAGCACTGAAACTGAACCAGCAATTTTCTGGAGCAGTAGAGGAGTCACATTACTTATAGCTAACTTACACTGTGACTTCAGTGATTCAGACCCTCAGCTCCATTATGATAACTTCTGATCTCTTAAGGACTTCCACCTTGGAAAACAGGCAGAAATGTCCATGAGCAGCTTTACCACCTACTCCCCTACTTCCTGATTCATTATAATCTTTCAACAAAATTCACTGATGACACTATTAAGTCATCTGATGAACGATACATAGACGGGCTTAGTTCAGTGACTCCAACACATACAAACTCATGAAAATAAAGTTTCCATATTAGTATAAAACAGAAAATAGTTCCAGCCTGTGCAAATTGAGACCCCCTTATACTCTGTGCAATGACAAAAGAAGGATCTCAATGTAATATGGAAGATCCACACCCCTCACTTAATGTTATGCTATGAGATAAATCCTTGCATTGGATGTACATTCCTGAGGCTCACTGAAGTCAATAAGAAATATTTGGAGAATTTGTACTGCAACAAAATGGGGCAGTACAAATAATTATTCCTTCCTATTTTTGATATTCTCTAGCACTTACTTTCCAGAGGAAAATATATTACAATGATCTACACACTGCCAGACCACACACGTCCACCTGTATTTAAATCAGTTTATGTTCCGGTCATGCACCACACAAGAATTTCATGCATCTACTATAATAAGGAAGTCCTGTGTTGAAGAGTTAACCACTAACCACTAAATACGACTCTCTTTACTGTACGTAAAAAGGCATTCTGTTTGGATCATACATGAAAAATGGAGGTGAAATTGCAGGAATTTGCTAAACAAAATCTAAATTAATATTACACAAAAATATGTTTCCTGTGGAGCTGATTTTCATCCAAAGACCTCTACCTATGAAAGAAGCTGTCTGACAAATTCTTTGGGCGAGGTTCTGCACTCCACTACAGCTCCTTTGAATTTCTCCAGTGGTGCAAATCACCCATAAAAACCACAGATCAGCCTTCTGAGGATTCCCTTTGTGTAAGGGGAATCTCTGGGTGGCACAGAGCTGGCCTGGTGGGTCTACACCATCCCCTATACCCCAGCCTCCAGCGTAAGGGTGAAAGGGTATCTGATTGGGGCCTGGATATAACTGGCTGCCAGAATGGCCCTTTGGGGCCGTGGGCAGCCTGATATAATTCAGAGCTGTCGAAGGGATGCTCTACTTTACTCTGGAGATCAAGCCAGCCCCAGGAATGGGGGAGCAGAAGATTGGTTTAAAACCATCTTTGCTCCTTCCCAGTGAATCTGGCCTATCAGTGTTTAGTTGTCTTTAGTTCAAGCAACAATCCTGAAGCTTCCAATGATATCCTCTGAAAGCATTCATATACCCACAAGTTATGGTGAGAGCTACATTAAAACTGCCCCATATTAGTCCTGGTTTTCATTGTATAACAGGATACAGTACACACAATTACATAAGAACACAAGAACGACCACACTGGGTCAGACCAAAGGTCCATCTAGCCCAGTATCCTGTCGTCCGACAGTGGCCAATGCCAGGTTCCCCAGAGGGAATGAACAGAACAGGTAATCAAGTGATCCATACCCTGTTGTCCATTCCCAGCTTCTTGAAAACAGAGGCTAGGGACACCATCCCTGCCCATCCTGGCTAATAGCCATTGATGGACCTATCCTCCATGAACTTATCTAGTTCTTTTTTGAACCCTGTTATAGATTGGCCTTCACAATATCCTCTGGCAAGGAGTTCCACAGGTTGACTGTGTGTTGTGTGAAAAAATACTTCCTTTTGTTTGTTTTAAACCTGCTACCTATTAATTTCATTTGGTGACCCTTAATTCTTGTGTTATGAGAAGTAGTAAGTAACACTTCCTTATTTACTTTCTCCGCACCAGTCATGATTTTATAGACCTCGATCATATCTCCCCTTAGTTGTCTCTTTTCCAAGCTGAAAAGTCCCAGTCTTATTAACCTCTCCTCATATGGCAGCCGTTCCATACCCCTAATCATTTTTGTTGCCCTTTTCTGAACCTTTTCCAATTCAAATATATCTTTTTTGAGATGGGGCGACCAAATCTGCACGCAGTATTCAAGATGGGGGCGTACCATGGATTTATATAGGGGCAATATGATATTTTACTACCAGGGATCACTCAGAAAATACCTATGCCATCAGAACACACCCGCAGCGCAGGTAGAACCAACAATACCCAATAGGATGTCATTTCACCTGCAGGTGATTTTTTGTTATTATATCAAATATTATACATGCCCCACCCATGTGGAAAAATAATGATCAAGCAAGCACATGCATGTTTTAGTGACTCTCGAGACAACTGCCAACTTCAGCAAAATACTTGACAGTGTGAACTGCTGCCACTGGTTGTGAGTGTATGAAATCTCCAGGGAATGCAAAGGGAATCAGACACAATCTAGGGAACACCGAATACAGTTTCTGCAAGACTCTACCAGCGTGATAAGAGTAATTGTTAAACAAGGAAGGAGATTGGGCTTCTTAGAACAACAACAACAAAAAAGAAAGTGATTACTTTTGGTTTTATGAAAAATTAGAGTCAGGGAATGAAAATGGCAAATCCCTGAGATGAACCCACTTCCCTATATGTCTGTGTTCAGAATGCTCCTCCCTCTGCATTCATAACTCTAGCACACACTTTCCACTCCTTAGGGTACTAGAACTTGCTGTCTTTCCCCATCCTCTCCTCCTCATGTTTCATCTCCCTTTTCGTGGAACTGAAGCAAGTTGACAGATATCCTGATTGGAAGCCTACTGGAATAGCCCGTTCCCAAGGCTGAGCGATGTAGATTGCTCAGTCAGACTTGCCCTTGGAATTGAATACAGCATCCTGTATACAGAGCGTGCATTTCTTCACCGTTATACAGACAAGCACACATAGATTTGTACAGCGAGTGGAGTACCTCATGTGAGACTTAACATCCAGCAGCTCCAGGGAAGTCACCCTGGGCTCTCCAGCCAGGTTCTGCAATATCTTCAGCCTAGGGCCACAGTGCTTATAGAACTCAGTGCAGATATTCAGTAGGGACTCCCTGGGCCTCCTGAACTCCTCCCTAGCAATTCGCTCGTCCAGCTCCTCCCGGGGGAGACCCTGGCCTTCCTCCAGCAAGTGAAGGTTTTCCCTGGGGATTAAAAAAAGTGAGGGTGTATGATGTATAGCTGGAAGGTGACACAAACAGTTTGGTAAATGAGGAGATTGTAATGAACCCCTCTTCCATAACAGGTAGGGCTGTACTTCGGTAGGTAATCACTGCTCTGCAAAAGCCACTTCCCCTGCGATGGAAAAGGAAGACAAAGCAGCTGGCATTTGTAGTAAGGAGAGAGAGAGAGAGAAAGCAGGGGGGAGAGAGAGAGAGAGCGAGCGTTTGTTACCTCCAGGACCCTCCTGAGAATTAGCTTTGTTTAAATGAAATACCTTCTGCTGGTTTCCCCTGAAACAGCATCCCTTGTCTCAATTACTGTAAGTGGAACCCGATGAACTAGGAATCCATCTCGGAGGAGTTCATCACAAGATGCCAGGGAAAAGGGGTGTAGGTCTTACTGTACCTGATAAAGTGCAGTTTGGCTCCTTGATCCGGGTACCTGGGAAGTTGAAATTGCAGACACTGTGATTCCAAATAGGAATTCAGGAACATCAAAATTGCCATATTGGTTCAGATCCTCTGTCTCACAGTGTCCAGTATCAGATACTTCAGAGGAAGGTGCAAGAAACCCCACTGTATGCAGATGAGAGCTAGGCTGCTCCCCAGAAAAATCTCATCCTAACCCATAATAATTAGAGATTGGTTTAAACCCTCTTCTTCATCTCCTTTGGAGGGTAAATTATCCCAGTCTTTTCAATCTATCTTCATATGAGGGCTGTTCCATTCCCCTAATCATTCTCATTGCCTGCCTCTGATCCTCTCTGGTTCTGTCATAGCCTTTTGACATATGGTGACCAGAACTACAAACAGTATTCCAGGTGAGGCATATCCTTGTTTTATACAATGGCATTATCATATTTCCCGTATTTGTCTACCTCCTAACATTTTATTTTGTGAGAACAGATCTCAACTAATGGAGAAACTCTTCAAACGTGAGTTGGGTTTTTGTTTTGTTTTGTTGTTGTTTTTTGCTTTTGACTCCCAGGAAGAATAGCTTGGAAGCTGGAACAGTGATCAAGTCTTGTATCACTAGACTCCTGCTGTCGCTACTGAGTTTCTATTACGAGGAGAACACCACAGAGGAAACAAATTTGAAACATGGAGCTTTAGAAAAAAATATTTTGAATTGCTTTTAGAATACGGAAAATTCTCTATCAGAAAAGTCCGGAGATTTGAGCCAAGAAGATTTTCCAACCACACAATATCAGAGTCTCTAGACAGGAAATTTAACAACCTGTCAGGATACAGTTTTACTGTAATTGTAGTCCAATTTTTGTAGACCAATAAAATGAGCATTGGCTAAGATTTTTACTACCTTTGTATCCTACTGCAATCAGTGGATGGGTGCCCCAATCCCACGAATTAATGCACTGATTCCAGTGACTGGACTAGATTTGTGCCCTAAACATATACATGTTGTCACACTGTGGTATGGTGGAGTAGCATGGAGAACTGGGGTTGTAGACTAGCTAGTTCAATGTGGGGAGAAGAGATAGGGACCTATCTAGATTGTCTTCAGAAAATGGTTCTCTTTATTTATATGCAGCCCATGGGGCTAGTCTGGATCATCCATTGCACATACTGTACATACAAACACAACATTTGCCATCTAAACCACACAGATACCGCAAGGGAAATAAAATTCAGAACAGAACCTTTTGCTACAAAAACACTAGCTTCTACTGCTTGCACTAAAGGAGCATTTTCCTTAGCTGTTGGTAATACCCGGACTTGTAACTTCTTTGTAGGCTAGCAACATGACAACATAGAATCTGATCACAGAAACGTGTAACTTATCCAACAGAGGGCAGTGCTGCCTACGTTAGCCAGCCCCGCACTCCACACAGATTCATAAAATCCAATTATCTGTAACAGCTTTTGTGCCTCTTACTGGCACCTTCTCTACAATGTAATATCTGGCGGTTTTGTGCTCACAGCCGCCTAATGTGAACTGCCTTGCCACGAGTGATAGAGCAGTGTAATGGGTTTCTGGCGACACCTCCACTAGGTTTTAGTTAAACAACCCTTCAGACTTTCCTTTCCTTATTTCCTTCCTGTTGTTTTTAAACAAAGTAGGGAAAAAACAACACATCAATATCTGCTCTCTCCTGCATTCTGTGCCACTCTCTCCCTTGCTGTCTCTGCCTAGTGGCAAAGGGAACCAGATAAAGGCAACTGCAAGAAGATGATCATAAAGGAAATGCAGCAAGTAAACTAGTGAAAAGGCAAATCCCCATTCATTTCAATTGGGAATGCAGTACTGAGCTCTACCACGGGGAGACACTGTTTGTAGTAACAAGGAAGGAACGAATGCACACATTTGTGGCTGTTATTGAAATGGGAGCTGTCCAACTGTCAGTTTGTCACTGGACTCAGACGGAAGCAAAAAAAAGGGACATTTTTAATCTGGTTAATAAAATCTCTGGTCGGCCAAGGGGAACAAAGGAGAATGAATCTAGAGTAAGCTTCTCCCTGTTTGGTATCCCATTCTCTGGTTCAGTCACATTGTCCTAAAATGAGAATCCAGGATTGGGGTGTTGCTTACTTCATGGTTCGTTTTGGGGTTTTGTTTTCTCTTCAGGCCTTGTCATCCTTAGTGACTGATTGCTCTCTCCTACACATAGTGCCTTCAGAACCGTTCCCAGAACACAGGACGGACTCTGCACTTCAAAACTCCAACTGAGGCTAGTGGGAGCAATGGATTGAAAAGAAAACTGATGGAATTACCTAGTATTCACCCCAGCTGACATGGTATGGTTGGCTGTTGTGGCTCCTTTATGGCCTTGGTCACACCTGCTCATTTGAGGGGCAGTCATGGGCCTGTACAGAAAAAAATCAATAGCATATTGAAGACAATCTCTCAGAACCAGATTGGCTCTTCAGCCATGACCTGGTAAAACACAGTGCTAATTTTACCGGGGGTGAGCGCGGTCATTATACACTAGCATGCTATGTATGCATCACAGCTTCACCGTACATAGCTCCCTGGACCCATGTTATCCAGCGAGTTACAAAGTACAGTCTGTAGTCTGACTGCCACAGGAGTTACCTGGTGAGAACTTCCACGCTATACAAGAGGGCCTGCAAGGAAGTGGCAAGAGCAGCAGTAGCAGCAATCTCCTCGCGAGCAGCTTGCACCGTCTCCACTTGTGAGGTCTGCCTCTTCAGTTTCTGCAGGTAACAGGGAACCAGTGCTTCCAGGACCATCAGCATCTGGAGGCTGGAACAATCGAAACCACTCAACCTAGCTAGAGAGGAGTGTGCTGCAGAGTGAAATTCACTTCAGGCAGAGGTCTGAGAGTCCAAAGGCAACCCAAGGGCCACTGGATCTCATCTCAGGCTGTGATTTCACGATATCTCACTAGCTAAACAGGGTTGGGCCTGAGAAGTACTTGGATGGGAGACCCCGCTGAAGGAAATCCAGGTGGTGCAGGAAATGAATATAATACAATTACTTTGTATCAAGACAGCACCTTTAGTCTGAGGATCTCATAGCCATTTACAAAGGTGGTTGAGTTATACCTGTTCAAATATAGGTCCATGCAATTGTGTAATGCCCTAATTTGCATATCTGGTTCATATGCATTCTTTCATTCCAACACATTCATTTTCCCTCCCAAAGATTCCTTTTCTCTCAGGTTCCCCTCCATACCTGCCTCCCTCTGTTTCCACAATTCTCCTCCCCTCTGTGTTTGTCTGCTTCTTCTCTCTGGCTCTCTGCTCCTTCCCTCACGTTCCCCTCCATGTGCTCCAAGAGCACAGAGATCCTAAACCAGACAGTGGTCCTCAACTTTCCCATGGCTATAGACCGATGGTTAGAGTGACTGCCTTTCTAGTGCTGCTCTGTCCATCACGCTGCCCGAGGCTCTAGCCATATGGCTGTTGGCAGCTTGGGAGCTGTACTCTACGAAAGGCGCCTATGGATTGAGAGCTCCTCGGGGTCTCTATGATTTAGCGTCCCAAAGCAGACATCCAGGACCCTAACCACAAAACATCTTCCCCATACAGACGCCCTCCTTAACCAATGAAAGTGGTTAGACAGCAGCAGATGCTTGAGGGCTTGGGTGTGTTCCAGGCGCCCGGGATGACTGAACACAGCTGAGTTTCCTATCATCATGCCTATGTTACTGATGGTAAAGCGAGGCATAGAAAGGCTAGGTGACCTGCCCAAGATCACACATCATGTCGGTGGCAGTCAGGGACAACCGAGGTCTCCTGACTCCCACTCCCAAATCATTTCTGTACCAATGCCCCAGCAAGGTGTTAGGGGAGGGACAGTGCTTGCTGCTGGAGGTGCTTTCTTTCAAATGAGATACGAAAACAAGGTCTTGCCTGCTTGTATTTATTAAAGCTTTCTTGCAAGAATAGGGCTATAATGATTTAACAGCCAGTTTTAATCTGGATAATTGCCAGAGCTGTGCTGATTACACACAGGTTTTATTTAAATTCCAAAACTTTTTACTAGAGAACATTACAAACACAGCACCTTTCACCAACTCTAAACTCATCTGTATTTTTTTTAAAGCGGAAGAAGATTGTGAACAGACAACACCTTCTTCTAAAAACCCAAAAGCAGCCATGCTTGGAATCCTCTTGCATAATCTTTACCTCCTCCACTTTTACTGAACTGTATTTTATCCCTCATGCGCCAAGCTATTCTTTTCCCTTTCCAAGCATGCATAAACTAAGACAGAAACCAAAGAGATGTTACCTTCTAAATGATTCAGGAGCATATGCCACCACAGTTACACACAGCTTGATGGCTTCACTGATAGAAAAGGTCAGATCCTCATTCCCATAGCAGAAATCTGAGGGGATGAGAATAACATAGGAAGTACTTATGAAAATTGTATAAATGGAAATGGAGGCAGGTGGAATTCACTCAAACGGCGAGCATAAGGCCTACACATCACTTAGGCCCTATTTTGAATTTCACCCACTGTCAACATACTCTGAGTTGCACATGAAAATAAAGGTTTTAATGACAAGTTTTGTTTCTCAGCTAATTGCCATTTTACTAAAAATTGACATCAAACGTGACACTGACCGCGTGGGATTTGTTTCACCCCCTGAAAATCAGGTCACTTTTATTTAGGTGCCTACATATGGATTTGCGGCCAACATTTTCAAAAGCAGCTAGCAATTGGTAGATAATTTTTTTCAAAAGCACTTAAGTCACATTTTCAAAAGTGACTCAAGCACTTAGGAGCTTGAATCTCATTGAAAGCCAATGACTTAGACTCCTAAGTGTTCAGGTCACTTTTGAAAATGTTATCATTCAGTGCGTCAATTTTTAGGTTCCCAACGTGAGATACTGCAAAGAGTCCAGATTTTCAGAATGTGGATGCTCAGCACTTTCTGAAATTCTCTTAGAATGTCCCAAGTTGGACACCCAAAAATAGAGGCAACCAAAATTACTGGTCACTATTGAATATTTGGGCCTTATGGGTCAGCATTTTCAAGAATTCAACTTTCATTAAGGCACCTATATGAAGGCCAGATTTTCACAAGTGCTCAAGTACCCTGGGACTCCCTTTATGGCACTTACGGGCAGATTTTCAAACAAGTTCAGCACACAATGCCCCCTTCTGAAAATCTGACCACTCATTTAGGTTTCTGAGCTCTTTTGAAAATCAAATTCCAGTTGTGGGTGTTGAGCAACTGAAAATCTGGTCAGAGGTGTCTGAATTGGGCAACTAAGTTTGAATTTTTTGCCTTATATTCTCACTTTAAACAATAAATCTGATTTTCAAAGGCTCCTAAGGGAATAAGGTGCCCAACTCCCTTAGGCACCTTTGAAAATCCAGCTAAGGAGAATTAAAGAGCTTTTCTGGTCTAAATTTCTTTTAAAACTTAACGAGTTGAGAGATGCTGTATTGTGCAATTTGCTCCTGAAAAAGCAAGACCATATCAGCACCCCTTAATTATTTCATATGATAATTAGTGGTTCTGCTGTACAATACTGCAAAATCCCAGAACATAACCAACCTTTCCTGTAAATCCGAGAGGGCTTCATGGTTCCTTGAACCCCACACTACTGGAATACCAGTAATGAACAGCTTGTGTATAAGGTGAATCTAACAGCCTGGAAACAGCTGAAAGGTCCATACAGTAGCAGCAAACATTATTTCTCCACAAACAGCAAAGCAGCTGCATTGCTAAATGTCGCATCCCATTGCTTCTACTGCTGAAGGAAGGGAGGATCCTTCATGTTTCTGAATAGCCCCAAGTATTGTCTTTAGAGATGGGCCAGAACCAAACCCCACGAGCAGAACACCAGAGAATTGCTGATTGGTGTCCATCACTTGCCAGTCATAGTCCATCCTGGGGAGCTGATGCCTTTGTTTCTTGCCAGCATGGAGCAGAGTAGGGGGCTGCATTGATTTTGTCTGCATGATGCAGCCTATTTGGATCTTTGTTCTTCACTCCGCATTGAGAACATTCAAAATGCCAGTGGCTGGTCTCAAACTTGCTCTCTCAGCACAACAGAAAATGTTTTTCAATTAAATAAATAACCCTTTATGGAACTACCTACTGGACGATGGGATAAACCTAACCCTCACGGTTGGGTAAAATGTAAGAAGCTGGTACTGCTGCACTCAAAACCAAAAAGCCTAAAGCAAATGTTACTGGGTCAACATATTAGATACTAAATACATAATCATGTATCTTGAATACAGGGGATAACAAAAGGAAGATTTGCTATTACCTAATGATTTGAGAGGCTTTTCTGCTTTCACCAGCTCTAGAATGTCCAAAATGTCAGGTGTATCTCCCTCTAGGGACTGCAGCAGGTCAAACAGGCACTGAGCTGACACTCCTTTGCTGGGTCCATTGTTTGTAGCATCCTGTTTAAATGACACCCATTTATTATTGATTTTTTTATTATTTTATTTGCATCCCACGTGTCTTCATTTGCAGACAGAAACAGTTCAGTTTTAATCACGAGTTCATAGAGTTTACAAGTTTAGTTCAGGAGAGTAATCATATAAAACAATACGTGCGCTGTTTGACTCTGCAAACAAAGGCCAGAGCAGTAACATGGTCTGGAAATTGTATAGCTTTACTTCCAAAGGGTTCATTCAAGTGCTGTCCTCTGAAGTAATGGCACTGTTTCACAGATACTCAAGGTCCCTAACTCCCTCTGGACCTTTATATTCACAATCAATCATAGAATCATAGGATTGAAAGGGACTTTGATGAGTTATCTAGTCCACTCTCATACACCGAGGCAGGACTAAATATTATCTAGACCATCTCTGACAGGTGTTTGTCTAACCTGTTATTAAAAAACCTCCAATGACAGAGATTCCACAACCGCCGTAGGTGACTTGTTCCAGTACTTAACTGCCCTTACAGTTAGGAAGTTTTTCATAATGTCTAACCTAAATCTCCCTTGCTGTAATTTAAGCTCATTGTTTCTTTTTCAACATAAGATTATAGAAGTGATGGTCACACTTTATATTAAGGTTCCATTTATAAATAGCTTATAAAAGGTTAATAAACGGTTAATCAATTGCTAGAGTCCAACTGGTGAATAGGTTGCTTATAACCATATATCATGTCTGTTTCATGCTTACAACAGCTATTAATCATTTATTAACGCTTTATAAACCATTTAAAATAGGAATTTAATATAAAGTATGACTGAATTTACCATACTGGATCAGATCATTGGCCCTGCTGTCAACAATGCCCAAAGTCAGATGCTTCAGAAGGTGAAATAAAAAATAATGCACCTAGCCAATGCACAAAACTGTTGGTGGGGCAGAATAAGGGGAGCAGGAGAATTGATTATAATAACTACATAAGAACGGCCATACTGGGTTAGACCAATGATCCATCTAGCCCAATATCCTGTCTTCTGACAGTGGCCAATGCCAGGTGCCCCAGAGGGAATGAACAGAACAGGTAATCTTCAAGTGATCCATCCTCTGTCGTCCAGTCCCAGCATCTGGCAGTTACAGGCTTAGGGACACCCAAATCATGGGGTTGCATCCCTTACCATCCTGGCTAATAGCCATTGATGGACCCTTTGTAACTCTTCGCAGTCTGCTTTAGATTTAACTGTCTTGAGTAATTTTGTATCACCTGCAAACTTTGACACCCCATTGTTTACCCCTTTTTCCAGATCATTTATTAATATGTTGAACAGCACTGGTCCCAGTAGAGACCCCTGGGGGACACTGCTATTCACCTCTCTCCAGTCTGAAAATCGATCATTTATTCCTACCCTTTGTATCCTGCCTTTCAACCAGTTACTGATCCATGAGAGGACCTTTCCTCATCACATGCTTAGTTTGCGTAAGTGACAAGGTCCCTCACGAACGGCTAAGGTTTTCTGAAAGTCTAAGTACACTATATCCACTGGATAACCCTTATTCATGTTTATTGACACCCTCAAATAATTCTAGCAGACTGGAGAGGCATGATTTCCCTTTACAAAAGTGGTTCAGCTATAATCACCTCTTGGACCAGATCCTGTGCTCCAGTTAGGGCTAAATCAAGAATTGCCTCTCTCCTTGTGGGTTCCAGGACTAGTTGCCCAGAAGCAGTCCTTAATCGTGCCTAGAAACTTTATTTCTGCATCCTGTCCTGAAGTGACATGTACCTGGTCAATATGGGGATAGTTGAAATCCCCCATTATTATTATTATTACTGAGTTTTTTATTTGTATAGCCTCTCTAATCTCCCTAAGCATTTCACAATCACCATCACCATCCTGGTCAAGAGGTGGTAGTATATTCCTACTGCTATACCCTTATTATTCTAGCATGGAATTTCTATCCATAGAGATTCTATGGTACAATTTGATTCACTTAAGATTTTGACTATATTTGACTCTATGCTTTCTATCATATATGGTGCCACCCCTACACCAGCATGACCTATTCTGTCATTCCTATATATTTTATACCCTAGTATTACAGTGTCCCATTGATTGTCATTATTCCACAAAGTTTCTGTGATGCCTGTTATATAATTATCCTTAGTTAATACCAGGCACTCAAGTTCACTCATCTTAGTATTTAGACTTCTAGCACTTTTAAAATTTGTTACTTTTTAGTTGTCTGCCTTCAAGTGATGTAATTGAATGCGACTCTTTCATTTCACTGTTTCTCTTCAGTTCCTATCTGGGCTTTATCAACATCTATCCTCTCCTCTTTACTAGGATATAGAGCAGGGGTGGGCAACCTTTCAGAAGTGGTGTGCTGAGTCTTCATTTATTCACTCTAACTTAAGGTTTTGCGTGCCAGTCATACATTTTAATGTTTTTAGAAGGTCTCTTTCTATAAGTCTATAATATAGAACTAAACTATTGTTGTATGTAAAGTAAATAAGGTTATTAACATGTTAAGAAGCTTCATTTAAAATTAGATTAAAATGCAGAGCCCCCCGGACCAGTGGTCAGGACCCGGGCAGTGTGAGTGCCACTGAAAATCAGCTCGCGTGCCGCCTTTGGCACGCGTGCCGTAGGTTGCCTACCCCTGATATAGAGAATCCCCGCTAACAAAGCCTTCCCTATGGGATGTCTCTTCGAAACCGTGTGTTCCTCCACACTTGTTAGTTTCCCCCAGCCCTTAGTTTAAAAACTCCTCTATGCCCTTTTTAATTTTACATGCCAGCCGTCTGGTTCTCTTTTGGCTTAGGTGGAGCCCATCCTTCTTGTATAGGCTCCTCCTTTCCCAAAAGGTTCCTCAGTTCCTAATAAACCAAAAGCTTTCCTGCCTACACCATCCTCTCATCCACACATTGAAGCCCTGGAGTTCTGCCTGTCTAGCTGGCCCTGTGTATGGAAGTGGAAGCTCTTCAGAGAATGCTATCATGGAGGTTCTGGACTTTAATCTCTTACCTAGCAGCCTAAATTTGGCTTCTGGAACTTCTCTCCTACCTTTCCCTGCAGGTAATTCACTATGCAGTTCTCCCAGTCATTGCAAACCCAACTATCTATATTTCTAATGATCGAATCCCCCATTACTATTACCGGTCTCTTCCTAATGACTGGGCTTCTCTCCCTCAGAGGTATCCTCAGTGCAAGAGGATACCATGACATCATCTGGAAGGAGGGTTCCAACTATGGGATCATTTTCCTCTGCTCCAGTTGGATGTTTTCCTTCCCTGAGACTTCCATCCTCCTCAGTAGCACAGAGGCTGTCAGACTGGGGGTGAGACCATTCTAGTGTGTGCTGGAAAGTCTCATCTATGTACCTCTCTGTCTCCCTTAGCTCCTACAGTTCAGCCACTCTGGTCTCCAGAGCCAGTACTCGGTCTCTGAGGGCCATGAGCTCTTTGCACCAAATGCACACATATGTCACCTACCCATAGGGCAGGTAATCCTAAATGTTGCATTCAGTGATATGAACTGGATAGCCACCACTCTGCTTGTTGGGAGGGCAGGTGTTTATTGGCATAAGTTTAGAGTATGTTAGGTATGTCTGGATTTCACACTCCCTCGCTAAACTCCTGTTTGCTAGCTCCTCTGGTCACTGGGGAGCTGGTTTTATAAACCCCTGTTCTCCCTGAGTAGCCCTGCCCCTTGGTTAACAGTTAATAGAGCCTAAAGGGATTAGTGTAACAAGTACATTGCTCTTGATTTCCATGAGAATTAGAAGCATGCAGCTCCTCCTTTGTCCCAGCTGCTTTCCCCTTGCTTTCTCCCATGTGGAAGCCTGTCTGCACATCCATGCTCCCCAGTGTGAAGGGAAGGATCAGGTTTTACTCACAGGGAACTCCAGCAGAGGAGCCACGCTGGCAAACAGTTGCAGAACAAAGGGCTTGCGATGCAGAATGTAGAACTGGCGGCAGGCAAACTCAATCGCTTGGCGTAACTGTGGGTTGCTTTCGTAGTCAGCATACACCTGGGGGGAAAGGGGAGTGGAAGCGTACAGAAGTGACAATCCAATTAAAACAGCAAAACAGTGAATTCTGCAAGGTATTGTGGGCCTTGAAAACAGTATTTCCACATTTCCTCCATAACTGGCCCCCAGAATCCTGCCCTGCAGGTGTTTGATGAGATGTGGGATTCAGCAATCGTTAATTTCTCTGAGCTTTGTAAACAATATAATTAGCTAGTAGCCTCTTTTCCATTTAAATTGCCTGCCTGCTCTATTTCCCTGCTGATATAACAAGTTACCTTGAAAAACAGCTACTGATATTGCTCTTGCTGTACTCAGGCAACAAACCCCACTAAATTCCTGCATTTGGGGTGGATTTCACCCCATTACAGACAGCCCACATAAGACCTTCTATGCCACAGAAGTACGATGGGTAGCCTTGGGCTGGGGGTGCAGACAAAGTAGCTGAGCTGCACACCAAGGAGATGAGCTCAGTCTCTGGGGGCAGAAAATGAACTTTTGGGGGAAGACAAAAAGACGTCCCTTTGTCCTGCCCCTGAGGAAGTAAATGGACAAAGTATTTATATTCATGGAAATGGGATCTCAACCAGGCTTGGTTGAAATGCTGCAAAAAGGGGTGAGAGAAACGTATTGAGACAGAAGGTTAGTCTGCTAAATTAAGTTTAGGAATAATGTTATAGAACAAAAATCACATGTAACCCTTCTGTTTCCATTATCCTTATTCACTCTCTCTTAAACCTTGATCTTTGATAACAAATTGATTATTGTTTTCACTGTAAGTATATCTCAGCGCTGTCGTATTGTACAAAGAACTGACCATTCAAGCTGGTGTGTACATTGCATTCCTGGTATTATTGTGAGTGCTCAGTGGATAAGGGGCAGAACACTATGAGGGAAGACTTCAAAGGGTATCTGGGACTGGGGTGCACCAATTGTTAACCTGCAACTGCAAGGCAATTAAGGGCTACCGTAGCCCAGAGGAGGTTGTTTGGGTGGCTAACAGGTTGGTGGGGTCCACACGGCCAGTTAGTGTGTGACATGCAAGTGCACTGTAGATTCACAGTTAGTGACATCAAAGTCTTAGATTGTAAGCCCTCTGGGGGCAGGGACGGTGTTTTCCTGTGCGCTTGGACAACACCTTGGATGGTGTAGGCAGATCCCCAATACAAATGGTGACAACTCGTTCTGTGACTGACCCTGGGCAAAAAGCCCTTAACCTTCCACCTTGGTCTCCCCACCTGTAAAATGGGAGATGCTAATTACGTACCTCACAGCAGTACCGTGAGGTACGTACTGCTGGTAAAGCACTCTTAACAATGGAAAGCACTGAGTACTCAGTGTGTTTATTACTGTTGCTTTATCAGAATGCTTGTGTCGCTCGCTGATTCGCTAGGTATGATGACTCACAGCAGCTCTTTAGTCTTCGGTGTTAACCAGTGGGAGGAAGACACTCACCTGCAGCATGGTGGGGAGGATCCACTGGTACCCACTGAGAGAGAAGAGATGGTTGAAGTGCACAGCGGTGTTGATGACAGTGGCAGCGTACTGCCTCAGCAAGGCACTGTCCTCTGGGTGCAGGATCAGGGCTCCATTGAAGACATTTAGGAACAGCATGATCTCGTCCCCCCAGGGAAATTCACTGGGCATGCCCAGGAACATCTCCTCCAGGAGCTTAATCCACAGGCTTTTCTGAAGGGTATCAAGGCCAAAGAGTTCCTTCCCAGCTGCAAGAACAATGCAGGCAACATAGAAGCTAATTAATCGCCTTAGCCCAGCAAGGCATTTCCAGCTGGGTAACATTCCCAAAGACCAATGGAAGGGATCCGCTGAGCAATGGCCTCTACATAGTTTCCTCCAGCAAACCTCATCCCCACTTTGGCTACAGGTGCTTTTTAAAGGAGGATTGCACCAAATTAATCGGTGGTGCAACTCCACGGATGACAACAGATTTTGGCCAATCGCGTTTAAGCAATAGAAAAGAGAAGTATAAAAGGGGCACTGGAGGAATGTGATGAATTATCACAGGGCTTTATTAATCTTTATTCTATATGTTTAAAATTCATTCAATTTTTCATTGTCTTTTTAAGTTAAAGCAGACCAAATCTTGCATATACCATTGGCAGCTTGTTGGCTTTGTGGATAAATACTATATTTTTTAGGGTTACCATATTTCCACAAGCAAAAAAGAGGACACTGGGGGAGGAGCCCCGCTCTAGCCCCGCCCCTGCCCCACCCCCATCCACTCCCTCCCACTTCCCACCCCCTGATTGCCCCCCTCAGAACCTCCAACCCCCCCCAACTGCCCCCTCCTGGGACCCCTGCCACTAACTGCCCCCTAGGATCCCATCCCCTATCTAAGCCGCCCTGCTTCTTGTCC